GCCTTCCAATCCCAACGTCAGGGACAGAGGTATGAAGGTGTAGCGCCACTGCGTCTGACGAACTGTTCAGTGCATCATTTGTTGAGTCATTGTCTAGACGCAATCGACCGGATACGACAAGTGGCCGATAAAAGACTTGCTGATCTAGTCTTTCTCCATGCTCGAGGACGTTTACGGTTTTAATACCGGTTACTGCGATGCATCAGAGAGCTTTATTGCAGCTGCTCAAACTTAAAGCCAATCTCAGATTGCGTTGAGGTTCCTCGGTCCGCTCTACGAGACCTTTGACTAAAATAATGCAAACACTAATACAGACGAGCATATTGTGATGAATGCATACCATGACTAGTTCTGATGATAAGGACGACCGACACACATTGACCTTCTGTAACTTCATGGTTGTTGACTTATTACTAAAGCGCTTTATTCATACAGCAGGTGACGAAACAGGGACACAACTAGGTGCGGCGCTTATTTCAGAGTCCCAAGCGCGTGGCGCTGGTGAGACCTCGGTATGTCGCACCTCGACCAATCACAGCGCCAAGTTTGTCACCACTCGCGCACCCAGGCGGGGTATATACGCCACGGCATGGAGAGGGACACACTGTGAAATTACTCAGGGCGTTTGGTGGTGAGTTTCTTCTCGTCGATGTGTCTTCTCTTCTAGGCTTCCTTCCACTCAAATTTGACATAGTTTTATCCCTTAGGAATAATTTATCAGATGGATGCTCCCTCGTATAAATTCACAGTGTATTCAATACAGTTGAACGCCTCTCTTTGTGCAGTAAATTGATAAGCATTTTTTGCGACCACTGCATCAGTCTGGCTTGTCTCGAAACGTAGGTGTACACACACAAACCTTCTTGTGGCTTCTCTGTTTTTTTTTCTTCGTTTTTCTTTTTGGTTACAATTGTTGCAGTTGTGGGTGCGACTCGATTATAGTATCTCGCCTTCTCGCCTGCACTGTTTCACGTTTTCAGCTTAAGCATTGTGCCAATCCTAGTTGACCTTGTCGACTTGCACTTATGCAGTTGTTTTGATTTTTGACAGTAGTGGTGGTACCTACATCCCTCTCTCAACTTGGTCTTGGATGGGAAGTTGCGGAGAACTCCAAATTTTAAGTCCTCTTTCAAATATCTAGTTGATTTCAGATGCTGTGTCCGGGATGTAGCGTCTCCATACTTTGCTGACGTAATGTAGTTGCCTGGACGCTTACGAAGAGGGAGGGGAAAAATTGTGTATCTAGTCCGAGTGCCATATGTTAGGGAAGGGGAGGGGAGTGGAGGTGGTTGGCCTGATCGTGCTGTCGAAATAAAGTTACTATCACAAGTCTCGATCGTTCTGTCGGATTGCGCTCCGAGGCACTGAGTACATGCATGTGTGCGTGCATCCTTGTGTGCGCGTGCGCGTTGCGTTCACATGGCAAGGATGTTTAAAGGATGGCATCACAACCCTGCTTGTCCTTGCTTGACCCTCACAACCACATGGCGCCATCATGGCGTGTTTCACACACACACACACACACACACACAAACACAATTGCTACACCATACGTCGTAGCTACCGTTTTGAGCACTCCACGTACTATTTCGGAGGTTCAAGTAGTTAAGGTTCTATCAAACTCCACATAGCCTTTTTGACTCCGAACGCTTTGGAGTTGCTGATTCTCTCATTCTCATTCCTCCACTTCCAGATTGAGCATTGAAGTCAGCTGAGACTCGTCGAAATGGATCCGGTCAGCGAGCCCTACTCACGCTACATACGAGACAGATATTTATTAGCTGGGGACAGTGGATTTCACTCCGCCGACACAATGGATGAGAGGAACGACAGATGGCCTCCGTCACGATCCACCTCTCCAACATCTCCGTCAACAGACTCCTATTTTCGTGAACACTACGGTGTCTTCTTTATGGATGAAGACATAGAGGAAAACTCAGCCAAGCAAACTAAAGAGGAGACCAAGGAGGAATCTTCGGACTCCACCAGTCAATCGTCTGATGAGAAAGGATCCATCGCCACTTCAATTCACTTCCCTGCTGTTTTTGTGGAGGGCTTTTGCGAAGGTCGTGTGGAATTCAACATTCCTGGAGTCATGAAAGACCAATTTTCCCCTCCAGATGACATCAATGTTCATTTCAAATTTCCAAGCGATGACAGTGGGCAATTGCACAACTCCGACATCGAGTGTCTCACAAAGGCCGGTGAAGTCATGACCCAGTGGCGAAAACGAAAGAAAACTCACAGCCATTTTATGGCAACACAGCACTCAAGATCTCAACTCTACCGATCTTACTTCGAGGGAGACGACTCCTAAATCAATCATTATGACAATGACCGTTAATTCTATTCCATATTCGGCGATTCCAGCTTCTCAGGCTGCCAGCTTTCACGTGCACTTCGTGTTTGAGAGTTTTATATGTGTTTTTATCCCCGTTCCCACTCCCCTTCCATAACACCAATCACTATTTTTGATACTTTTATAGGGTAATACATATCAATTTTTCACATCGTTGTTGTTATCTATCTGGGTAGTTTGCCACGATTTGTTACCAGTCTAGAGCCATAGTAAGAAGGCGGTGATAAATCAGACTGGAAATTTGATCGTCGCGGAGGCAATGGCCGTGGAGACGCAGGGCACAGGGCGCTCACTTAGTACTGACGGCGCGTGACTAATCTCAGACTGCAACTGCGTTCTTCCGACCACTGCCACCGCCGTCTGGTGTCCCTGTTCAAGGAAAAGACGTCGCAAATTTCTCTTCTCAGTGCAGAAGCCCGTATGCAAACGCATGCGTGGATTCGTCGTAAAAGTCCATGCTCGAATAAGGATTTGTGGTAATCTTACGTATCATTCAAACAAAGCGCTCTGCCAATATTTCCCTTTTCAACATAAACGGTCATTGTGTTTAGGAAAAGTCGCATGTTTGAGTTCCTCTTTTAGCGTTTTGAGGTGGTGCTAAATGCGGAGAAGCATGAGCTTAAGAAGATGCTGATATTCCGTGGGAATTGAGACGTTGGAATCATTAAATTTAGCGCCTTGCTCAACTATTTTGGTCGTCAGCTGATCGGTATCCTAGCATCGAGGCAATTAAGGTTCTTTACAATTGGATGAAGTAGACTAGTGTATAGGAAGCCTAGTCCAATGGTCCAAATTCTGCTGTTTTGACATCAGCAATCCATTGGGATGGCGTGACAGCGCAATGCAGTTGGAAGGATTGGTGTAAATTGATGTAATCTCGAAGGTGTGGCCTCACGGTCGTCCTCATGCTATTACACGTGATATTGTTGGCAGTGTTGCATTACCAGGACCTGTGATTGCAGTTGTTAGCAAAAACTGTCGATTTGATACCGGCACGACAAGCCCTGGCTCAGTAGGCATATTTGCATGCATTAACAGACCATCACTTACGCACTCAGACTGATGAGTAATGTGCCAAAGTGTCAAGTGTTGCATGTAGTTGAGCCGCCTTATAGATAAAGGTCTGCTTAGTTGCTTTGGGAATGCATCCATATCACAGTCGTCCAGCAGTCTCAAAGATGGCGCGCATTTCCTCCCATACGCGTACATCTCCAAATGAAAGAGTACTTTTGACTGACCTCTGTCCATTAGGTCTGTCAACTGTGCACACCCAAGTAACCTTTACTGTTTACTGACATTGATAAACCTTTTGACTGCTATGGTTGCAGCTCAAAGACTGGAAGTTGCCCACCAGCATAGCATTAAACAGCATTGTTCATATTTACACTGCTTTAAATTGACTAAAGTGTAATAACTTTGTGACTCGGTTTAACACAACACCACAACAACCTGAATCACATACCAGATGCTTGCGATAATTGATAAAAAAAACGGCAAATTTGCCTAACACTGTGAGAAAGGCGATGCCTGGTCATTAATGGTGTTGTGAGTAGAAGCTAATGGAGTTGATGGAGCCTAGACGATGGATTCAAGAAATGCTCAAAAGAATGAATAAGACGCAACCGAATTTGGGTATCCAGGGCCGTCCGAGGTTCTATTTATCAAAATCACCTTTAGAGCTCACTGATTCAGGACAGTGGCGTAACTATTTTCCGACTTAAGCGGTAACGAAAGAGCCAGTTTATATTTTTTTCAAGACTAATTAACAAAATGCAGATTCTAAAGTTATTTTACGATCCTGGCAAGAAATATCCAGAGCAGATAAATTCACCTCAGACTATTAGTGAAACAAAGAAAGTAAACAATTATTCTTAAGTCACAAGATTATGGGTCATGGGATTGAGTAAACTCTAACCAACTTCCATATTTGTTGGATAATAGTCAGATGGCCCTAGAGAAGCGTAAAGAGATGCTTCAATTATTTATACATCAATGAAGTTGTTTCATTGGAGCCTGCGTTACCCACACAACGATGGTTTCTTTAAGACACTATGAGCTGATGAGTAAGAAGCAAGGTCACAGCTAAAATGGGACGATGGTGGTAGTAATTGTGGGGTCAAGTTAATAGTATGACGAAATAGTGGCAACATCATGCGGGAGATTGCTGTCTCATTACCTGGACTGTATTCATAAGGTTATGGGACCATCACCGAGTCTCACCTTCTCAGCAGATATGGTGAAAGAAATATAGCCAACTACATTAAAGCTGCGGCTTCCCGGATTTCCAAGCAAACAGCGATTACATTCACTTTGGTTTGGTTTGTTTGAGGCACTTCAATTGCCTTCACCTGATACCGCCCATGCATGGACGACAAGTCCACCTTCAGAAATGTCTCAACACAAATTAGGCCAAAAGGGACACCTGTCCCAATGCTGAAGGATGAAATTAATTTAACCAATCCACTTCCGAGTAAACTTCTCTTCCAGATTATGCATAGTCCATAAATTCCAACCAAGATTGTGGTGCGTACTTCCAACAATAGGGTGCATTCTCTCTACGCTGGGAGCTAGGATTAAACTCGAAGAGGAGGAGTCCGGAGGTTGAATCCTACCAATAACAAGGGGGTCATTTCAATCGCCGTGATTTCAATTCCAATCACGACGATATGGGGTGTTTTAGGTGATGGAAACATGGAAGGTCGCTCTCTATTTCGCCCCAGACATTTACATAAGACTTTCCACTTTGAGGACAAGATTGAATCTGTTCTTCCAAATAAACAACTAAGACAACCAAAGGGGACTCATATGTTCATTAAAATGAAAGATCCATTCAAAGCGAAAACCGACTGATAATGGTCCAAACACGGACAATACAAAAAATATGAAAGACTAATGCAGATGTCAGAGAATTGAGCGAAAGATCAAAAAAATACAATGCTACACCTCCTTCTCTTTCCCGTCTATTGGTCCGGTCGACCGCCGTTAGGATCCTGGACTGAAGGGAAAACAGGATCCGTGGCAGTGACCATCTTGTAGAGCACCAGAAAAACTAAGAGATGCATCACTATAACGTAGCCAAAGGTCGCAAGACGGGCACCGCGGTTACTAATTATAATTCTGCCCTAAAAGTCAAGGGAAAGCAGACATACACAGTTTTGCAGGTGGTAGTTCGGGTGTTTGACGTCATTATAATGCAGGTGCCGACCAATCAAAAGAGTCAACTCACGAGATTGTGCATGATCTTCTCGTGCGGTAGCAAGGCGCGATAGCGACGCTGTCGCTCCTGCTGGGCAAACTGCCTGAAGGGATTCAGACGCTCCTCGTAGGCGATAGAGTAACGTGCCAGAACCGCGTCATCGCGGTCTAAACTGGAGATGGTAGAGGGAGAGTAGGTCTGAACGAATCGAATCTTTTCGTACATCTTGATGTTGTCCTGACGGAGAGACTCCACCTCTGCCTGCGACTTCATTACTTGTTGTCGCATGGCCAGAAGATTCTGGAAGTTGAGACAGGCGATACTCAAAAATACCCTGCTTTAGGCCATTACGATTAGGACGTCACGTCATTCCAATCCTGCCTACGCTACCGGCCTCTCAGGTCTTCTGCATCCCTTGCAGAAGGACTTTCGAAAAGTCTTTCCTGCTGACTGAATGCTGCGTTCAGATGCTATAGAGGGAAAGCATTTGGATCTACTGTGACCATAACATGCATTACCACTCAAAATGATCAGAAATGATACGATATCGGACCCAAACGAATTGAAAACGTTTCCAGAGAAACGATCAACACATCGTAGTTCGCTACCATTAGCCACCATATTGGGCAAATGAGTCTGCAATATGATATTTTCAATGACACAGTAAGCTGCTACTGCCAGGAGGTTTGTAATCCTGTAACCATTTGAGGTATCGAGAAACCACACCAGTCGCATCACAGTGCCATGCATTTTACATCATCCATCCCCTGTGAATAATTTGTTTACTTCCAAAACCCAATCTGCCCTGCTACAGCTCATAAAAAGGAACCAGAATACGGACTTTAGGTGCTGGAACCTATTCAACTTTAATGCATAACAGAGTAGGACTCGCATTAAAAGCTTTAACTCGTAAAGTCAACCATCAAAGTCGTACAGTGGGTGATAATGAAACAGAAGGAAAAAGTTAAATCCCAACGAAATCCTGAGCCGATATTCACTTGCAGAAATTAAACTCGAAAGTTCACCTTCAATAAAACACTCCAGCAGCCAGTGTGGTTTACAAAACCAAATTACCGTTTAAAGTTAATCCTGTTCGCAAAAGAGTGTTCGTGCAAACCCTTGTTTGGGTGTAAGTAGCTCTTCAAAAGTTGTTTTCCAAATGGAGTTTATCAATTGATAAGACCAATCGTTGAGTCACAAAGTCTTCCCGCTGTGACGAGAAAGTGTTTAGTTGTGGTCTTCCAGCCTCGGGGCTAAAGCCCAGTTCCCCAACCCTGTTCACAATGATAAAAGTAGACAAAGCGACTACTACCAAAAAACTACAACCAAGACAATAAAGGAGTCGGGTGGTATTGACACTTCAAACGTTCAACTATTAGGCCTCTACCACAATTACACCAGAACTCAGACCACGACAGCAATTGCATTTATCTCGAGATCCTCATTACGCAAACGCTGCATAACTTTTAGTTCAAATCAACTGATAAGGAATAAGACAAATTATCCTGACTTTTTGCAAAGAATTGATCTTACCAAGGTACAATAATGGGAATCAAGCAATCCTCCAATTAAAATGCTTCCACACTACTCTGATTTAAATACCACTTTAAGCAGACGTAAATATTGACAAGGAGAAACTATTTTGAAGTCGATAGGGTCCTTTCTAGCGGCCTTGAAGGGATGGTGCGACTGATATGTGGAGCATAATCCCCAACTCTTCACCACCTTGTTTACAATCACTCCACTTGATATTAATCCAAAGTGTGACCTTGAAAAAAAAATAAGGCAACCCCAAGTATCCAGTTTGTGTTGACCCCCGGGTGTTATGCCCTTCTGTAGAGTTTGAGCAAGCAGAACAGTCATGGCAGTTTTATATTCCAGCCCCTGAACCAGCGTGTAACAAAAATTCAGTAGAGAGTGATGCCTTTCCAGGGAATTGAAAGGTGAACGCATGGTGAAAACTTGGTGGAGGACTTTCTTTAAATATTTCTGCTTGTGAAATCCACCAAAAACATCACCTAGAGGGCCTTGATAAGCGCTGCATGTTTCCTGCACTTGGCCTGCTTAACCGCTCTTGGCCTGAGATCCATTTTGTCAAAACCAAGTTCTGCCTACACCAAATATGTTGTTGTCCTTCCGTACGTCGGCTGTAAGTACTTATCGCAGCCTATGTTGAGGCAAACTCTATCCCAGCCACCCTAGCAACACTTAGGTAGATATCGTTATCCTCATTAACCACTCGAAGATTCTACAATCATGTGATCTTCACCACCCTGCAATATATTTTTCTTAAATTAATCAGCAAAGTTCAATTTATTGGCCGACTTGATTTTGCACGGTGTTATAAATTGGGACACTCAGATGTAGTGCGCAGGAATACAGATTCACTAACAAAAAAAAGAGGCCTCGATATTTTAACAGGAGCCACGAAAGCAAGATAACGACCGTTGCATTCGTGACAGGTCACAGAAAACGTAGAACAACCTGCCATCAAGTTTAAGTTCTACTTCCTTACAGGCAAATTAACCACAATCACCTTGCTTCCGATCTCACTGCCATAAAGGCATGCGAATAGCATTTTCCTGCTAACTCACTAGTTCCGTCTGTTTCGCGAGAAAAGAAGGCATGAATAGTTCTACCAAGTGGCATCATGTAGACAAGCCTTACTGGGAGTCCCTAGTCCACCACCCACACACCTAAAACGAGCACGGACTTATGCGAATGAAGCGATGCATGCTCGAGAAAGCCAAAAGAGAGGGCGGTGATGACAATCGTTTAACCCGTCAAACGACACACAAAACAAACCCCTATCAGAATTAGTTAAACCACCCACTCCTATTCAATCCCTCAATTAACAGATCATCATAACGTATATGAAGGACGAAAAGTGGCTGTCTTTGAAGTCGAAATGTCATCAGATTTCAATGCGTGTCACACATTTGGCACCTGGTTTTTTTCTTCGCCAACACAAACACTGCAAAAAAAATACTCCTCGCACGTCAATGGTCAACTCTCCGTAAGTGGTAATGAGAAATAGTCAATTCCGGACAATTGCAGAAAGAAGTCTAAAATCATGCCCCTTTACGTGTCAATTCACCATCCGAATCAGAGAAAAGAATGCACTACGGCGTGGCGCGCTTTCAAATGTTTCCTGGAATATATGACAGAAAGCTAATTAAAAGCTAGAATCGACTCAATCAGTACCAAATTCTAGACACTCAACCAAGAGTGCACTAACAGTAGACTTGCGCACCGCCTTCCTTAACTAATGCGGGTTAAAATAATCCATCACAGAGAGTTAGAGTAGTAAACTACGTGCACTTTTCCAAGCGGCGAAGGTAACAAGCGAAATAAAACAAAATTTAAGCAAGTTTCCGTGAAAGTCATCAATTTGAGGGCATGAATCTTGAGGTGAAACACAGGAACAAGGAGGAGACGTTTTGTTTACAAACCTGCAGGACAACAAAGTGTCCAGGTCAATGAAAGAAGTAATAACAACGTTATGCTACTTTTAGATAACAGTAGAACTAAAATTGAACAACATATACCTCTTCAAGCTTGCGGTTTTGTTCTCTCAGTCGATCGCGTTGGTTTTGAACGATGTCAAGGATGGAGGCTTCAGCTGGGGTGCCTTTATCCTCCTCATCGGAAAGGAGGTTGGTCAAGGATAAAGCCGATCCCATCACCTCATCGCCATTAGCGGTAATGGAAGCAGTATCGAGTTGTTGCTGCTTTTGCAGATGATGCCAAGTGCTGGCCCGATCAAGATCCTCCTCCAGACGAGCTATCAACGCCTTCTGTTGTGCTTCTCGCTCCGCCATATCAGCATTCATCTTCTGTAGGGCCATCAATTCAGCTGAAAGTTGGATGGCAAAAATAAGCTTGCCTAGGTCTTCTCCGGTGACGATAAAAGTGTCACATTAAGAGCAGCTGTTGTGCTGGTAATTATGTATGAAGCAGAAAAATACAATTAATTTGCAGCGAAAGAAGCCTTTAAAGTACCTAAAAGGTAACTAAATGCTCAAAAGTTCAGGTAACATTTACGGAAATGCTAATAAGTACGGTACAAGGGTTCTCAAACCTAAGTTATGCCGGAAAATGTAAGGAAGCGTTGTTTTTAACAGAAGTATTGGGCTTTTGCCGCGAAAGTACATTTCATTGTTTTAGTAGACTTGCAAACAAAATGAATGGTCGCGGTTGTGTTACTCACCACAACAACACAAAAGCTCCTAATCATTCTTCCTTAGTGACATTAAAGCAGGGTAAGAAAGGAATAGTATTCCAAAATACATTCAACCATCTAACTCATTGCCCTGAGGGAGAGTACTGAATGGTCTACTATGGAATGAACGAATTAATTCAATCCGGAATTTGAGACGATAAACTACAAAATTATTACCCAAAGCATACTTTACTACAGTTACACCATCTGTTAAAGTATCCAATGAAATAATTTTTGGAAAACAGTGGCATCACTAGCAATTTTCGCATTCGAACAAGTCAGACCTACACTCAATTCGGTCTTTTTCCAAACTAATACTGGCGATCTTATTTTGTAGTTGATCATTCTTTCTACGAAGCCGAAATTCCAATGGTTCATCCATCAACATATGCGGATCGCTGTCTCCTTGTTGGAATTCAATGGATCGTAGCACTTCCAATTCTTTCTTAATCGCATCGTAATCGCTTTTGCTTTGGAGTTCCGCCTCAGCCAAGGCCAGAGCGTTACTAGCTGATGCCAAGGCCGAATTCGTCGACTCAAGACTCTGTTGTAGGTTTGAAATCTCCGTTTTAAGTTGCATTTCCAGCGTCCGCAGTTGCAACTTAAGATTGTCAGCCTATTCATCGAGAATATAGCCGAGCTACTTATGATTTGTAAGTAAAAACCACTAATAAATATTCGCATACTTCCATAGCCTTCGCTTCAAGCTCGGAATCAAGCTCTTCGATGCGGTTTTGCAGCTCAATGATCTCCTTGCCATCAGGGGCTTTGGTACTTCCTCCATCCCGTTCCATTTGAGCCTCTGTCACCTTAGATTCCTCCAGAGTTGCAATCGTCTACAAAGGTAAAAAGGCTATTAAATTTCAATTCATGCATCTCGCTTTCGATCATCAAATCACACCAAGCAACAAATGAATGAGCGAAAACGCATACACAATGAATTTTAAAGAATCAAGAAATCGCTATTTTCTCGCCTCGAATTACCAAAACCTACATCATTGGCCTTTTCCAGTTCATCGAGGAGACCCTGCACTTGTTTGGATCTAGAAAAAAAAGTACATAAAGGAAAAAAATTGCGAGTTGGTGCTTACCTTGCCATCTTCAGCTCTTCAAGATCTAATTCCAAATGAGAGGCACGAGCTTCAGCCTCCTTCATAGCTAGAAGGCAAGATGAACGAAAGTTCAAGATTAATGAAGACACTAATATCCTAGGTCAATTTGAGTGAAATGTAATAACCAAGCAGCTTCTCAAAAGCATTCACGGAGCAACGAAAACCAATTTCAGTAATTAATGGGGTTATACTGAGCTAATCGGTGATCAGTGCAGTACAGAACCCTAAACACTCATTTCCTACGGTGAAAGTAATCGAGGCAATAGCCGGTCAATGAAGAGAATCTGTCGGATTCGGCTTCCCCAGCAAGACAAATGGAAAGCCAAATAAAAAAAAACAATTTCATTCTGTGATTAAGATTAGACTCGGAATGCCAATGAAGATACCTGCCTTAAAGAAATAGATGAAGAGTTCGCGAACGCAGTGTTAGCGCCTAGACTAGGGAAAATGTCCACCCAGGTAAAGAGAAGAGATGCATTACCCTCAGTAAGGTACTTGATCTTTGACTCGGCCTCGGAGGAGCGAGCGTTGGCTTCATCAAGGAGGATTTGCAACTTCTCCACCTTCTCATTCCGACGTTCCTCATCCTCATCCTCTTTTCCTTTGTGAAAAGGGGGTCCTATACCAAACCAAAGGCAATGCATTTATGCTGTTATAATAAGCTTATAAAAGGAGAGATGTGCTCCTTATAGAAGCGAAATCTCCCAGGAGGCAGGAAAACCGCATAGGAATTTCGCAAGATGATGAGAACTGACTTCATATGTGAACAGAGCAGCGAACATGATAACAACATAAGTGGTTTTGTTGTAAGAATGTGGGTAGCTAAAAATATCGGACGAAACTAAACGGCAGACGACAGAAACTTTCTTCGTAGTACAGGGAACAATTGAATAAAAAGTTATTCCTTTACTACAATACCTTCGTGACCAGTGGAAAGTATTTCGATGTGTGGAGAATGCTTATTAAGGCAGAAAAGGAACCAAGACCTAAGTAGAGGAGAACTTCCCAATCACTTCACATCGAAGCAGTTACCTGACTTTCGGGAGAAACCAACTTCATGGCAGGTTTATGAGGAAGTTTGGTGCGGGATGGTGTAGGTCAGGGGGAAGGAAGGTCAAAGAATCGAGATGGTTACATGGGGAGTCTTTCCCTAGTAGTTAGTAAAAAAGCGTTTAGTTAGTACCTTTTACGGATAAACAAAAAAAACCATTTCCAGTGACAAGTTTCGCTTTTGTCGCAGTGATTAAGAATGCGATGGGTTGTTTGTGTTCTGAAGAAGGATCACTTTCTCCTCAATAGAATCGCCGATTTCTCAAGTAATGAGACACATAAATATCTCACAGCTTCAATGCTTTTCTTTGAGGTAACCTTTGGTTTTCCAAAATGTAGGCTTCAATGCTAAGCTCTGAAACCACTCAAACCACTTTTGCAGATCATAAATCCTTGAAGTGGAAAACCGAGTAGAATTAAGACCAATAAAAAAGGCATGTTAAAGTAACCAACAAACGTCCCGATCTTGAAACACGAGTTGTGAGGCTATGGCCTAAAGAACCCTTCATAAGCAAGAAACTGCTACCAGGAGAAATGAATACAAATCAAAATTAATTAAAATCCTCTTTACTTAGAATAAATCAGATATAAGGTAAACCTCTCTCCAAGCTTCAAAGCGAGACGGCAATTGGTAAGAAATAACTTTTACTAATCACGTAGAGTTGACAGTACTGAAATTGGACTACATCCGTAGGAACAACAGCAACATGACTCAAAAGCCAGACAAATAGGTTCATTAAGTTCATTACAGCGCATGTCATTTATCTAAAAACAATCTGAGCAGAGTCACCGATCATCACTTTCAATTTCACTTTTCATTTTTTTGACAGTTTCGCAAGAGGATATGGATGGTTTTCTTGCATATATCTTATAAAAATTAGGACAGATCGAACCCAGTAGGTTGATCACATTTTCAACTGCCTAAGCAGAGGCAAGAGCAGTCTTCTAAGGCAAAATAGTGCGCAGTTCGGAAGTGTTGAGGAACGATGTTTGTAAATCCGTTACTCAGTTAAGTGGGATCAAATGATATGTTCACCAACTAACTGCGTAAAATAAAATTGACCTTTACTCCAAGACTTCCAATTCCCCACTCTTCCTTTCATTGAATCAATGAGTCAAGAAACTTATAATGCACAACAGATACGCATAACATAGGTGAAGAGCATGGTCGGAAACGTTGCAATATTGCTTATCTTATGCAAAATCTCCAACATCGGGAACGTGGTCGGGGACAACAATGTGGTAGACCTCTAATCACTTTCTTCTAGTTAAGGCATGAGACTTCCAAAGAGGAGGAAAGTAACAATTAGCACAAGGAAGTCAATCCTATTCATGCTAACAGTGCGCACCTATGAATGATGGAATGCAAGCCTCACTAAAATATTGCAGAGAGCTATCTCATAAAAGAATACACGATACTTCGATCTCATAAATTTTGAGTAACTCTTCGCTCACATTATACAATGGATTAATCCAGAAAGATTGGGTAGAGCACATAAACTCAGCTTGAGCTTAAGGTTGGTAGCCGATTCCAGTCAAGAATAGAGGTGTTCAAAAGGAATCTCGAATCAATGGAAAATAAACTTGGTGTATCAATCGATTATTGATAGACGGTCTTATGGATGATAAACTATGTAAACAATCCTATGATTTCGTAACTATTCGCCAATAGTGGTACTATTAAGTAGAAAAAGCTGAATACGGGAGGGCACGTACCTTTTGATTTGGCGACGTGGAGTTCCCCCTTCAACCCTTCAATGGTTTCCCGAAGTCTGGCGTTTTCAAGTTTCAGATCAGAGGCACGTTGAGCCTCTTTGCTTATAGATTCCGTCTCCGCCAGAGCCAGCGAAGGGTCTAAAAGTCAAGTTGCTAATTACGCTCTTTCTTGGTTAAAACCATTCATAAAGGGAACAAATCAAAAGCCTTATAATCATGTTATCGAGGAAACTTATAGCTAATCGAACAACGAGTGGGAAAAAGATAAGTTAGGACAACGATAAAGCTAGGAATCAAACAACGACCACAAATACTAGCGAGAGAGAATAAATTACTGACAGATGTATTGTGAACACGCTGTCAAAGTGGCTTGAATTCAAGAATCAAGCAATTATGTTCCAACATCAGCATTATACCTGAATTTCCCTTGTTTAATCCGTGAAACGCAAACAAAACCTGTTAATATAATGTAGCGAAACTAACATTTAACCGAGGAACGTATGGATGTATCCACTAGGTCTAACGCAAAACCTCAAATACCTCTAAATGCCAAAATTTTGGTAAATTTACTTGAGCATAATGCGATCAATTAAATATAACTTTTGAGCTGTCGACGAAATGGTACCTGGCATCTCCGCAAGACGCTGATAGACTTGGATAAACGCGTCCTCGACCTTTTGACTTCTAGCAGTAAGTCTGTCAACTTCTGCCTGAAAGCTTTTCAGCACCGATGCGGCAGCTTTCCTAACTTCCTGAGAGAGAAAATATGGCCCATAGCACAGAATCTAAGGTTACATGGGATGAATGAAAATATAGGTTTGAGAGGTGGACCACCATAAGAATCTAGAAAGGTATAAAGACACATCATTAGAAAATTTCAAAACCAAGGCTTGACGTCCCACCTGAAGACCAAGTAAAGGAAGTAAAAACGATTCAAATGGAGGTGGAACAATGAGCCACATGAATGTTGCCAATGATGAGTAGGAAAAATACAATAATGAATCACTATTGCAGTCAAAATAGTACAGACTGCAAAGTGACCAAATTGCAAGTATCTGAGCTCGAGATGTCTTCATCAGAGGCACCATAAACAACATCTAGGACTATGCTGAGGCATAGCATTCCCAATGAAGTAAAGCGAGAGAATAAGGGCACGAGTATCGAACATTCGGGGCATAAGGCGCGAAACAAATACCAATTTCTCCATTAGGGATTCAAACACTATCACAACTTCACTGGCTACACCATGATCTACCAGCTTCAGAAGCATAGACGAATAAGTAATCAGGGAAGAGGAAAAAGCCTGTGGCAAGGAGGAAATCCCACATTTCGAGTACAACGATACCTACCAGTGATGCGATTCGAACCAGCACAACAGACTGTTATTTAAGTCGGGAAAAAACTCGCTTACCTCTGGGGCAGAATTCCGAAATTGGAGAAGAACTTCAACCAATTTTTTTCTCGAGAGCCGGTCTCGCTCCTGGACAGACGCGATCATAGAGGCGGTCTCGCCTATTTCAATCTAACGCCCATATTATATGGGAAAGCAAAATACCTGAAACTTAGGAAACTCAAATTCATTCCACACAGACCTCGTCGAATTGATAATCGAAGGCATCTCACACCTTTTCAAATTTACCAAAAGGTGACAAGATAAATAAAACACGAAAGATTTAGGATAATCCTAGAACAATTCAATACAGACACATGTAGGCAAGCATTTTTGCAACAGTGCCTCTAGGATCAAAAATTTCATCGTCATTCAGCTACTTTCTGTAGCACCCTGAGACTTCCCACTAGGTAGAAGGCATCACGTCGGGCAGCATACATGTTTTCCAAGAGAAGGCGAAGGGATAGAACACTGACATAAACGAAATAATAATAACGCGCTAAAAGCAGGACGATCACCAAAGTCGCCATAAACCAAGTGATTACACAAGCAAAGTATTACACTGCTCTCCCTCCATTTAAGCAATGTCTAGGCCCTCTACTTAGCCATCATGTCGCGCCAGCAACAGCACCATGCTCGGTGTTAAGAGGAATCACTGCGTCAGCCATTAGTTATCAAAAGTCCGAGTGTAGCGTCCCGAGGCTTCCCATAGAGTGGAAGAAGGCATAAGTGAGGTGGAATGCATGTATTCCGAAGACGACAGGGCAAATGGGGCCTAAGCGTGGCCCGAAGGCAAGCTTACGTGTATGGGGGTCAGACAAGTTCTAGAGTGACCGCCAAACGTCATGAGCAAAGCATTACACTGCCCCTTTCTCCTTTTAAGCGACGTCCTCGTCGCCCCCTTTTCGTACACCTCCCATGCCAGCCACCACATGTTCAGTACTACAAGAAAGCACTCACGAGCCAACCAGACGTTCGGTCTGACAACCAGATTCGGGGCCGCCTACATCTGTTGACCATCAATTGCTTCCACATCTAGACGGTGGAACTCTGGTCAAAAACAAATATGTTAAGGGGATTTTGAGTGGCAAAATCCAACACGAAACCTTTCCGCATAGTTCACGGCGGTGTCGCTTCAGTTGTTAATAGCTTGTCTGTGGAACACGGGAATAAGGTAAAACCAGATGTAGACGTCAGTCTAAATCCTTTCGTTGTGAAGGATTCAGGGATTCTCCGTCACCAAGGTGAATGCGCCTCCTTCGATTCACGTCCTCTTTACGCCTGTATCTTCATCTACTGCACTTCCATAGAGTCAGACTTCCTTTTACGCATGTATAGCTCATGATTGCCTGTGTACAACGCCAAAATGCACTTATTAATCTTGGATATCCTCACTAAAAGACAGAATTCCTTTGCAGTCTTGGCTGCTGGTTGGATTACAACCGTTTGTCGTGAAAAGAGAGGTTTCGACTTTCTGGACAAAGAAACCCGATTTTTGGGTATCTGCATGTATTGAACCAGTGCATCCTCCGACCGAACCGTCGCTCGTCGGCTTGTTAGCACTGCTCTTTTCCGGAAATCAGTCGATTAATTGGCAAAGTATATCAACGCAAACGAAGGATGCCAGTAAGCCAGTGGTGCCTGTCGGGCAAAGGATTTTCCCGCACACTATGTCGCCTTCAAAAACACCTTACACCTAAAAGTCGTCGAAAAAATGTCGAGTTCGCCATCCACTGCCATTAGTGTTGCGTTCCTAGGCTTCCCATAGGGTGGAAGAAGGCATAAGTGAGGTTGAAAACATGTATTCCGAAGACGACAGGGCAAATGGGGCCTAAGCGTGGCCCGAAGGCCAGCCCACGTATAGAGGGGGCAGAAAGATTCTAAAGTGACCGCCAAACGTCATGTGGTCACATAAACAAAGCATTACACTGAGAAGCGGCCCTTTGTATCCTCATCACCTTTAACTGTATCTACGTTTACGTTCGATCAGATGGCAAGAATCAGGACCGCACACATCTGTTAACCATCAATTACTTCCGTGAATAGGATGTTAACACTAGCCACAAACAGGCGTTTTAAGAGGAAGACGGGATTGTACACAGTTCCTTATGGAAAGGGGTTCGCCATATTATCACCTTCAACATCTACATACCGATGTCGTAAAGAGAATGTGATACGAAACTTTTCCAGATGTTTTATGGTGATTTAGCTTCAATTGTTAATAAATTGTCCGTGAACAACTGAAGCAAGGCGAAGCCAAGCACAGATATTACTCGCAACCTCCTGCCTCATGTAAATTCACTTTCTTGGCCACGTAGATTCATGTCACAAACGGTAGATACCAGGATAAAGTCGCTAAAATAGGTCAAGTTTGTTTTCCTTTGCTCCCCTTAAGCAATCGCAGAATTCTCACCAAGCAGAAGAAGGCATCACGTTGGGCACCATATATGTATTCCAGGAGAAGGAGAAAGGTTAGAGCAGTGGCAGGAAAGTCATATATTTTAATGTAGGGTCCTGAGCCTTCTCATCTGGATGAACGCCTACTCGAAGAACTTCAGATCTCCCGTCCACAAGTGATAAGAGTTGAGCACAGCTGAATGATTATATTTAAAAAGAAGGGTAGAAGCTAGACTATGACCTGCTCCGAAGGTCATCTTGGTTGGCGAAAGCATGAAGGACACCCAGGCAACCTCCAACCATGTACCTGGTTGAATAAACAAAATATTACACTTACACTTAGAGAGAAGGGAAGACGTGATGTTGTAGCTCTCACTCTGAGAAGATTAGATATCGGCTGCAAAGCACTGGGAACTGTGGGTACAGCTGAAGCAATATATCAGCGTTATTACACAGGAGGATCCACACGCGCTTCCAACACAGGGTTTGTGGTAACTGATCGCTTCTCCGCTGTAAGGATAACTTAAGCGCAGTAGTAATGTATTGCACGTGGAGAAATGGCCTGGTTCGAATTTCATTCCACCAAGACAAAAGCATGATCGGCACCATAGCAACGTTCGGCCACGCAAATGGTTGAATCAACAAATTAGTGGTAAGATACTTTGTTCAACTACCACTACATACCAAGGTCACTTTAGCAACCATCTTGCTGGTCTTCAGGCTGGTCTGTGGCTTCGCCCCATTTATTTTTATCCAATATGGGCATTAAGCCATTAACTGTGCCTTTTGATAGGGAACAGAATTTCTCGAGGCGTTGCGAATTTGATTGGGGATTATTCTTGGCCTGGACCGGAGAAGTCCTCTCAGCGAGCACGACGCTTGAACATAAGTTCAGCCTCCGATCTGCGTGTCGCCATTAAACAGCTGATGTGTTAAATATCAAACCGAAGATCTATCAATTATGCATCTCACGTAGTAGAATATGCCTTTTAGGCGTCGAAGCATTAACCTGCATCGTGATGAGCATCTAATTCCTATTAAAGATGACGGAACGTACCTATTTTTGGAACTGGAGTTACCATTGGTATCCGAGTTATTGTTGGCTGTGTGATGTTTTGTTTATGCGGCGACGTGACATCCAGTGGTCCCTTTAATATTCGTCTGGTCCTCGTACGCGTGGGCTGGCCTTTGGGCTAAGCTCAGACCTAATTATTTTGCTCTCCTCGAAATACATGTACCCAGCTCAACTTACTACTTCTTCTACTCGACTGGAAGTTCCGGAATGTTACATGCTACCTAAGTAAAGTCTCCGGATTTAAGCTATGGTTTTCATAACCTGGCTATACCAACCGTCTAGGCTTACTGTAACATACCTGCAGATCGGGTTCATGGAGTATTTACATTTATTCCGATAAACTGATTGACTAAAGTTGGACGGAACGAAACCACCTTCGGATGCCTGTATAACCATAAGCTTGTAAAAGGATGTAAATGTGTTGTGTTGCTACTTCAAGGTTAGATGCATCCAATCGCATTTCAAACTGCTTGCAATTTAGCCTGGACTTTTTATAACGTGATCAGTTCAGTAGTTTCCGGGATCAACTCTTACATGGTGATGGGAAGCTACTACATCCATTATGTTAGATTCATTACAACCGTAGCTATAATATCGATTGGGCCTTTTATTTGCGGTATGTTTGTGTTGCATAATATGTCTCTGGACTTTCTAGAACGGTATCAAATCTCATCTTGATTCCATTCGCCTAGGCATCTCACTTGGCTTTTCGTCTTCAGTTTCTGCACAGCTGCTCATTGGTGATAACCTGATCGCCTTCTTCTCAAGCTTAATCAATCTGGGAGCGTTAGTTGGTAGCCTTATCGTAGGCCCAGTTCTGAACATCCTGGGTCGACGTGCAGCACTGCGCATATCCGCTGTTCCCTCCATCATCGGTTGGCTTCTTATCGCTGCAGCGCAAGGTCTCTCACCTCCCTCCACCAGTGTGGACCCACTTCTCGTCTTCTTCCTCCTCCTCGGCCGCGTCCTCTCTGGTCTCGCTGCGGGCATGATGACCGCCGTAGGCTCTGTCTACCTCGTAGAAGTCTCTCCACCCCACCAATCAGGTCGAATAGGCTCGCTTGCTCAGTTTGCTACTGTGGCGGGCACTTGCTTTGCCTACTACTGTGGTATGGTTACTACGTGGTACGAGACTGCAGAACTCATGGCTGTCATCTCGGTAATGCTTCTAGGAGTCACCTTCTATCTACCTGAGTCACCGGCTTGGCTGGCTAAACGCAACCGGATACAGGCGGCTTTAAAAAGCCTTAGTTGGCTTCGATTCGATGTAGGTGGTTGCTTTGAGTACTGTGCCTGACCTTTATACCTCCCGGATAATGGTCATGAAGAGGTACCATAGAATGTTGTTCTCACATAGCTCTCACTCTTCTATGCGCGAAGTGTAGCTACTATTCTTATCCATTACTTGGGTTTATTTTAAACGGAGTGGTGGTTTGAAGTCCTTTGAAGTTGATCCACGCGGAAAATTACTCTTTATGCTAAGATGGGCTGAGCTTGTAACTGCGTTAGTATTGTTCACCAGTAGTTTGTATTTGGAGATCATTTGTCGAAATTGTCATTGGTTTTGATTTTAGAATCCTTTTACTCGTTACCCTTATCACCTTGGCCCTCTTGGATACATTCAAGTAAATCATTTAGAGAAGCAGTCCTTAAAACCCTATTGCACGTCCAACTTTCATGTGCTTGATTGTTTCACATCTTAAATTATGTGTTGCTACGTTGTACATATTTTTTAACCTTTGTTCCACTTTCTGATAACGGTCAACGAGCTGATAAAAAGACATCCTTTTACACTGAATGGAGGCTATTCCATGTCCTTTTTACTTATTTTACACTGCGATGTTTTGAGTCTCAATTAGATGGCGATTTCATCTATCGGCCGTAACTTATAAGGCAAGTTCTTGCTTCTCAAATGAATGGGGAACACTTCCAAGTTGCATTGTAAATCTAATAGATTGCTTCACACCAACAAACTACTTTGCTTTTGTTGGTTTTGTAATCCCAATGTTAGTTAACAAAGTATAATTGTTATCCAAGGAGCTTTTGAATGAAAAGTTTTGATGCCATGGGGCCTCCATTTCAGTGTACCTAACGCCTGAAGCGTGCAGCAATGCTTATTTTCTTAAGATCGTCTTAGCCGCTGGACTTTGGGAGCTCGCATTAATTTTCGAGCGACTTCTTCAAACTTTATCCCCATAGAGTAAACGATATTTCATGGATATTTTGGTATCTAATGATTACTCGATCTGTTCTTATCCAGAACAGTTCCCCTGCCACTTGAGTGCTGCATTATGAAGCATTTTATGTGTTTTCTATTGGTGCTCTTTTTTATTTTGCTTTCTGCAAATAATCGAATGTTTCATCGCGTGTATATGTGTGCCACGTGTGCAATGGTTGCACACTGATGTCCAGTTCCTGCTCCACACACCGAAGCTCTCATTAAATAGTGCGATATCAATACACCCGTTCTACCTTTTAGGAGAATTTGCTTATTCTTAGTTGGCTTATAAGTTGTTCAAGCGTTTCGCAAGCTCGCTATTTTTTTTATTACTGATTGTTTATCTGATGAGGCACTTTCGGACGCTAGTACTGTTATTCTCTTAGGTCGTTCTTTGAAGAAACGGTTTTCGTTTTTTAGCTACGCTTTGCACACTTCTGTTTGAGCTGGTCGATTTTCAAAATAGCTTTGATCAATCTCGCTGAAGCTAGGGCAGGGCGTATCAATTAATGGTTGAGCATCCACATTGTTAGCACGCACCATGGCTCCTTTTCTTCTTTCACCTACTGGTCGGTGTAGCGGTGAACTGTATCAGTATGGCTTAAGGTGTTCTTGGTTGTGAAGAACCAACGTGAGCTCCTCAAAGGATCGAAGCGCTATTGAAGCAAAGTTAATTAAATCTTAACAAAAACGCACGTTACTTGGTGCCTACGGGCTATCATAGTCAACTTTTCTACAACAACAGCAACATTTCTATTTCCAAGCCGATTTAACGCCTGGTTGAGTCCTGCGTCTTCTCAATTGGCAGACTAGTAATAATGATCTTTGTTCTTTATTTCAAGGGGTTAGTATTCCTTAGTCCGCATCGTAACTAGACCTGCTGGCCGATGTAAATATTGCTTCATGCAGCACCATTTATTTGATTTAGTGGTTCGTTTGATGACTACTTTTTGGAAAAGACAATCAGTAGGTCGCACAAACACAATCAGTGCTTTCTTCCGCTTTAGCAAAAGGCGGCGGTGCAAGAACTGTCTGACCTTTCCGCGGATAGCATTGTCGACGCTGAGAAACCTTCATTCCTACCTCCGGGTCAGCACACGTTTAGAAATGGCGCTAATGATCACACGTTCACTTCTTGTCTTGTTCGTCTCCTCCTACCTTGCGTTACCATCCCACCGGAGTTGAGTGACAATTTGCGAATTGCACTGCTGCTGATGGTGGCGCAGCAGACCACGGGTATCAATGTGATCACTTTCTACACTGAGCCCTTGTGCCAGCGTATGGTTCATGTCACTCACTCAGCGCGCTGTGCTTTCGCTCTCGGGCTAGCCCAACTCTTCTTTTCCCTCCTCGCCTCCTTCCTCATCATCAATCGTCTACCCCGGCGGCTGTTGGTGGTCGCCACAGGCGTTCTAATGTCTATCTCCATGTTCTTCTTTGCCATCGGGCAACAGGTGAGTTGCCGTGATTTCCAAATCCTTCGTGAATATAATTGATTTATTGCTGTCAGGTTTGAGGTGACTGGAAGGTTTGGAGGGTAAGTGGAACCGACGTGGTGTACTGTTTAAGTTGACACTTAAAGCAATTATGGAAGTACACAGACTTGCATGCCTAAAATGACCTTTGTAGCTGTCGTGCTGGTGAGTCCGTAATTTTAATTGTGCATAGCTGAAGCTTTTTTACACTCATTAAGATTGTTGTTTTTCTGGAGTAGTTTCATTTCATGCTGACACCAATGTGGCATCTGAGCTGTCTTTGTCATAAGCATAAACCAAACAAGTTCACAAGAAATTAAACTGACACATTAGGGGAATTTTTTGGCTTGGAGGTTTCAATCCTACTCCCCATTGATTTGATCCCCTGTGACATCGATAATCGGAGTGATTTTGTTGCATTTTGTACCAATAACCATAAGAGATCAGTTGAAGATCGCTTTTTAGTCAGTGTAATGTGTTGCTAAGTGACATTTTGACTGAATATTTTTTCATCACATCTAATTTCGCCTCTTGGATATGTATGCTCGCATGCACTTTGGCTTAGCGATTGTCAGAATGTGCTTTCGAGCCGTCACTCTTAAAACTGGTAGCGAATTGGTGGAGACCTGATAGTTGGGAAGATTTACCGAGTGGCTCTGTTTATTTATGTATCCAATTGACTTTCATGCGGGTCGGTGAACTCCCAAGGCCTTTATAAGTAGGAGCACTGCGTCCCTATTTATGATGGCTGTTTGGTTACTCCGACTCCGGAAAGCTTTGAGAGAATGGATGAATGTCCCTAATTTTTATCAGCTATGTTTTCCTAGTGTTCACAATGGAGACTCAATTCTACCGTTTTAATTCGCTTTAAGTGGCCTCAAATCGTCAGCGGATGATTACAGTGCTGGTATTTGGTGTAACAGCTATACTCTCTGCTCATTGGCATCAGCGTTCTTTCATCTTTTACGCCTTTTATCGGCTTCTCCATATTTCCGCTACGCAGTCACTGTACTTGCTGATTGCTCGGTCGGAGCTGGATCAACAACAGCTTCAAGCACCTGCTTGGGCATGCGGCTATCCTTGGCGCTATTTTGATGTAGACAGGGTTCATTCCCTAGGAAAAGGGATAACCAATGGGATATTATAGTAATGAATTAACCCGATTGTAGTACCATTAATTATGCTCGGCGGTAATATTCTGCAATATCTGCGCTATAGTTTACCAACCGATGAAACGAAGCAACAATATAGCTCCAGTCGTTTCTCGTTTTTTGACCGTCAAATCCCTAAACAAAGTTTTGAACGGCAACAATTGTCTTCGTGTGTATATTTCCGTGTTTATGGACAGGAGGCAAGAAAGTTAGCTAATTTTCAATTTGCTACTAATAGTACACATTATTTTTGAAAATATTTTCGAATGAAGGAACTTCCATTGTCTCGTCACCCTGAAAATTCGCATTCAGTGGATTTTGCACATCTGAATAGCCATTTTACATCGCAGCAAAGTTAGCCTTTATAAATAATTTGCCAGCGTCTTCACTCCTGAGTCTGGGTGAAGCAGCTATTTTTTGCCTGTTTTCACCGACTTTCTAAAACGTGGACAGAATTTATGTGCCCATTGTTGCTTTTGCAGTCTTCTAGAAATCACACGGGCTTAGGTGCTAGCGTAATTCAACTCAACTATGCTTGTAGACTACCTGTTCAGCGCCTTCCCACTTGCTTAACTCAACTTTGGCTTAGTGAGAGTGCTTCTCCTTCTAATGCTTCTACTCTTTCATCTCGTGGTTATTTTGTCTGACTTGCTTTGTATCTTATAAATTAGCATCTCATTTGCACACTCCACAAACCCTCTGGTAGAAGGAGGTTCGTAACTAATCATCTTCTGCACTTATCTGTGCATTCTTTTCCTTCTTCTCAAAACCTTAAGACTTGACTTATCCAACAGAAAGCGCCTCATCTTTGGAGTACTTTTTTAGAATTATTAAGTTCCTTTTCAGTATGGCGCAACAAACTTCAGTAAAGTTTCTGTAGAAGAATACCTGATTTCGGTGAAACTGGACGTTAATCTGCGTCAAATGTCATTATAAGCACATTTCCAACGCTCTTTAATGGCATAAATTAATTTGCCTCTTTTTTTGTATGGAAATTGCTTTATTGACTTAGACATGTTGATTGAAACTACTGAATGCGACTTGCTGCTCTAAAACTCATTTGACCAAATCATTTTTTCTTCATTTTTTATAACCAAATTTTCGCCTCAGAGAGGTATTCTTTATTGATTTGCTGGGGCAATTATAGTTTTTAGCTATCCATACCGCCGCAATTTACTAGGATACTCTCGCAAGTCTTGATTTTTTGCTCTTTATTTTTCGCTACTTTTATGCAACAGCGCACACTAGCACTACCCCTGCTCTGTACCTTGTCATAACTCACTAACACCCTCTTTGCATCCTTCTTCCTTCCTTTCGCCGTTCAAGTTCCCGAATTCGGCTCCAATTTCGCCACTGGCTGCGATAATGGTCTTTCTGATGGGCTACCAGTGTGGCTGGGGTCCCCTAGCAATGCTGGTCGTCTTAGAACTTTTCCCCGCCAGTCATCGAGGCGCGGCATGTGCTGCTGCGGTGGCGATCAACTGGGGTGTGACCTTTTTGGTGACTCAAGCGTTTCAACCCCTTGTGAATCTTCTCGACGGGCAGGGCGAGTTGGTGGTCTTTCTAGCGCACTCCGTGGTCACCTTCTTTGCTTCTGCCTATTTCTACCGACGGCTGCCGGAGACAAATCCGGTCTTTGTCTCTCCTGTTAGCGCAGGAGTCGCTGCTGGTTTATTCATGTCACTGCATCGCGTTTGACGCACACTCCCTCCGGCTGATCGCTTGCTCTCCCTGTCCCTCAATCTACCTCTCTACTCGCCTTTTGCATTTTGCTCTTCCTTTTGCCTTCCTCTGGTAATTGTCTATCAATTTTATTTTCTTTTCTGATGGGACATTTTTTAGGCGGATTTGTATTTTGAGTACTTTTTATTCACTGCACTTTTTAATAACGGTCTCATATCTCATACAACTTAGAGTGATGTTACTTATTCGCAAATTTTCCACACGGAAGATTGAGGATTGTTGCCTCTCTGTTCTTCCAGGTAACATGCCTCCATATTCTTGCATTTCTCACGCATGCCATTTATGATCAGCATCTTTTAATTTCTCACGAAAGATTCCGGTAGTATTGCTTGATAGATGGGCGAGGAGGCGGTTCACCTCACACTTTAAGCCATCATGCTTATTTTATAATTTGGAATGCCGTGGGATAATTTACCCCCAACTCAATTTCACTCCTCCCTTAAGGTTGGGTTTCGATATATTTGTGAAGAAATGGCTGTTCCGAAATGCTTGTCTACGAGTTTTCGTTTTTTTTTTTTTGCATTGCTTGGTATAGTTATTTGTTGCTTTCCGCGTCTTCGTTTCTTCTGTACATGTAAGGTATTTTTACTTCTTACGCTTACTGCTTGTCCAGCAGTGAATCGAGCTATTAAAAATTTGGGATCCTTATTGAATAGACTCTCTTGCCGAATGCCTAGAGGCTTTGCTGCCGCGTCCCCATTGAAATTAAATTTGTTGTAGCCCCATGCTATTCTTCAAAATCAGGAAACATGCTCAAAATGGAGTTGTACTACTTTGTAACATAGCAACTGCACCAACAAACCTTCCTCATTCTTTAGAAGCCCATACTGCCTTCTAACCTACTTGCCGAAACGCTCAGTACCCACTTCATTGCTTTAGCCCCGGAGGGCTTGTTTATTACCCATGATTTCACATACGCGGTGCTATAATACAGAACTCGCATCACACATATTTAACACTGGGTTTAGATGTAATAATCCGAAAACGAATGTGCTTAGTGATGGAGTAGTTTAGAATCAAAACATTTTGTTTGTTTTAATGTTACGTAGGCGCAGTCCTTACGCGCTTTGAATGCTTGCACTTTCCGTCTGCCTAGCATTTATGATCCTTAAAATGGACTTTGCGAGTAATGCATGCAAGCCTTCGGGTATTTGGAGATAAGCATAGTAGGGTCTTTTTTTTTGAGTAACTTAGATTTTTCGACAATAGCTCTTCAGTTAAACATTACTGTTTTATGCTTTTCTCGTCAGTGTATTACTTGCGCTTTTGGTAGTGCTGTGACCAAACTCCTTCAGCTGCTACGTCCTCAATTTCTACGAAACTCAAACACCTTGGATTTGGTAAAAATGGTAATGTTGTTGCTTGAAACATCACTGAACTTACCTTCGGTGATTGCAAGGGAGGGGAAGGAGACGGGATAATGTAGAAAATAAGACTGACTAATCTAGGCCTTTTTTTCCCTGAACATGGTCATGTATTATTCTGTTGGCCTGAAGTGGCTGCGCGTCAAATTGATTCGCTAAGGGCGTCTGACATTTGCCACACCAGTGTAACCGGATAAGCTGAATTCAAATTAATAATTACTTTCTGCCAGCAACAGCAGCATCCTTCGTCTCCGGATATGTTTTTCGTGGCACTGATCTGGTTCTCTCTCTTTTTCTCTCTCGTGAACAGGCTAATCCGAGACCAGTTTTAATGCTTATGATGCTAAAAATCTACTTCGCTTTCCAAGCCCTTTTAGCTTTCCAAAAATGCATTTACCTGATCGTAATTACTTATCGTAAATTTCATTAGATAGGTGTTGTGGAGTGCTGTGTCAATTAAAGCTTCTTTGTATTCTAATTACTCATCCCTCCGAAAACTCTGGATGCCTTACTACAAATTCCTCGTCGGTGATAGGTCACTGCCCTCTTGTTAGCCTTTTTTCCATCTAACGATGATGGAGAAAGTAAGTTGGTTGCTCGCACATTTTTGGAGCATTCTCTCGGATCCGCCAGACAAAATCGTTGACCCGTACATTTGTGCAAATAAGAGCGTTTCACTTTACTATTCCCAATTTAAAAGTTGCTTTAAGGGAAAGCATAGAGTTGCGTATTTCATTATTTGCCTCACAGAATAAAGGTGCAAAGAAAATACTTGAATTTAGTACGGAAATATTTTCTTAAAAGCAATTCTTTTGCCCATAAGCAATAAATTTGTGCATGTCCCACCAAGATGGGATTGTGAGGTCTGTTCTTTTTATTTCTGCGGAAAACGTTATTAACAATGCGTACCGGCTACCAAAGCAACTGACGCAGAGTATCCCTTTGGATAGTTGGATTCCTTTTGTGCTTCTAAACTTACTTATCGATATCGCTGACACCTTTACGGGGTCATTTGTCCTCATGCTGGCATGTCAAAAAGGCGGTAGATTAATCGCAATTCCGCGTTCGTTTTCTCTGTAGTTGTCACCTGTGGTACCAAGTCTGGCGTTGGTAGGATTTCTCCTGGGCTTCCAGTTCGGCTGGGGACCGCTAGCAATGTTGGTGAGCACAGAGCTCTTTCCTCCGGAGCACCGAGGTACCGTAGGTGGTGCCGCTGTGGCAATCAACTGGATCACCTCCTTCATCGTTACCCAGACTTTCCAACCTTTTGTCAATGCCCTTGGCGGTGGCACCTTCAGTGGTACTGGTGATAACAACGTTGGGAGTGGGGAGGTAGTCATCTTTCTCTTCTACAGCGCCATCACTACTTTTGCCACCATCTGGCTCCATCGTCGGCTGCCTGAGACCAACAAAGCCTTTCTGCCTTCTGCTGTTAGTGCGTCTCTGCTGTAGCCTTTCACTTACTCTGACTTGTTCGTCTGTCTTTTGTACTTTCCATGATTTTTTTTTGAAGTGACTAATCTCGAACTAGCATTTCTTAAGTTGTGTTATTTTTAAGTGTTGAACTTTCTGTCCTTTCAATGCCCCATAGCATATCTTTGGATGATAGATGTATTACCACATACGGTATTGTTTTGGTAAAATCTGATAACTTTACCCCTTATTCCCTCTATCCACTGATAACAAGAAAATGACTGTTTTCAGTTTGCATTTTTAAGAACATTTTGGATTTCTGACTATGAGATTCACTACCACATACCGTAGAATGATGAATGCGTGTGTGTTGCACGTCCCATTTGTTTTATAGACACGCATGTTTTTTTGTGTTGTTGGTTTTTTTTACTGAAGTTATTCTCAGTTTCTAATTCCTCAATTGAACCCTCATAGTCTTATTTTGATTGCATAAATTTGAACTATGTGCAAAACAGCCGTAGACTCGAGACTTCGACTTATGGGCTAGCCTTTTGAACGTTTGAACAAAAATTAGTTTATGCACTGTGCTAAGTAGATGAGTAAGTTTTGTGGTGCACTTTTGAACCTAACTTTGCCCCACTTTTGTCTGCTTGCAACGTGTCTTATTTCTAATTGTCTCTGCTCCCTTGGTAGGGTTTCACTCTTCCTCTCGTCGATTTTAGGCTTGAAATCTGAGACGATGTAGTTGCGAAACGAATCATTTTAACAGTACGAACTTAGCATTTCTTGCGTTTCAACTGCTTTTGTGGTTTCGTCGCACTACGTATCGAAACACTATCATTACCCTTACACGTGGAAGGTTCACTCGCTGGCAGAGTTGGGAAAATTCAACGCAGTATTCACTTTTTTTTGGTTCTGGAGAAAGAAAACTACATCCCTATTTTTTATAGTCTTTGGCTGAGGACTGAAGGTTAAACGGGGAATATGGCCTCCGCTGAGAGTTGAGACGATCAATGGTTCTCTCTCCCTGAAGGCTCCAAAGAATCTATGCGATCGTAAATTTGACCCAACTGTACAATATTTCTGACTCTGGTTTTCTGTTACGTTAAAATCCATCTTTGAAGGAATGTGCCGGTATTTTGCAGACACGTATTTTATGGTTCTGACTGAGGGGGCCTCATGAAGTACTTGTTGAGCGAGCTTATGATTTATCTTTATAGTGTTAAAAAAGGTTCTTTTTTTTGCTAATCGTCTGGCGTATCACACTTATATATCCCCGTTTCTGGTGTACCATCAAGGATTGGTGTTTGGAGGGCAGCATAGGCGCGTCCGCCTGAAAGCAAGTTTGTTTGAATGAGGCTGGGGTATGCTTAGCTTGCATGATTAATGTTTACAGGAAGAGGTGTATGGGTGATCATGTGTGAACCGAATAGCTAAGGCTCTGTTAAATAAAGGCTCTTAGTAAGATCTACTTATTGAATGCCATATAATGCGACTATCCATGCCCTTTCCTTCAGAGAAAGTCAAAGCTAGTGACCTTGTTGTTTTTTTCGCCTTATGATATCTTAGGATTAAAAGTGCCAGAGGAGGAGGTGACTGTAGTCACCTTGTTTGCAACTTGCGCAACCTGTCTGGGAATCATGGTAGATTTTAACAATTCTTTTGATCGTCCTGGTTAAACGCGCAGGAGTGTACTGCACAAGTCCTTAACCTTCTACTCAAAACAGAGGGTTGATGTCGCTGTGCTTCTTCATTAGCTAAGACGAATGCTCTGTAAGCGGAAGGCAGCAATGTTCTTTCTTGCATAAGCGTAAAGTACACTTGCATGAATTACGTAGGCTTTTCTCAAGTATCTGCCCTTAAGGGTAACAATTTAATTGGCTAACATTAGGTAGGTCGGGAGCAGCGCGAGTGTAGAGCAAGGACTCCGTTGAGCTAGGGCTCGAAATAGGTCCGCATTTGTGTTTCATTCCCCCCAACCGAATCAGTACAACTGCAAATTTTGAATCTATCTCTCAGTGATGGAGCTCATTTCGTCAGGGCGATTCTATTACGTCCTTTAGCTCTGGACATGTTTTACAAATAGATCAACGGGCGTGAGGTTACACAACCAAGTCATGGTTGCATATCTTGCTATGCTCACGATTCTCGAATCGACTTTCCAAAACCCAAATAAAACGCATAATCCTATTCTTGACACCACAACAAGAAGGGGCAAAGTGCGAAGTGATTGATCGACAAAGTAGTAATGTTATGGACTTTCTTTGCGGTACTCCAATTGCTCCAATTCACTCCATGCCTCATTAATCAAGCCACCCATTACTAATCTAGAGTCATAGTTAGGACGTCGAGGCTCTTATCCTCGAGTTGTCTTTTAGCAAACTTTACCTTCTTCAACGTTGCACAATTTCTGGATTCAACCGCTGAATTGGTGTTTGAAATGAATTAAAACAAAGAATCACTTCGCTCGTAAAATGAAAACCCCCTCTAACAAAAGAGTCGTGAATTATGGTAATTAACTCAGTGAATTATGTAGTGTTTGTTCTAATTTAAGAGATGATGTGAAAGTATAATCCTTTCTCCTTGTGGGTCTGCAAAAGTTGTTATTTTTAGGAACGTCAAAAGCTCTGTGCTTATAAAACACTAGAGTACGTCAAAATCTTCTATTTTTAGCCGCTTTCGTCTGCATCGGTTAAATTCTTCGGTCTCAACGTCACCTTAACGTCATGACTGACTTCAGCTTCCGAGTGGCGGTTGGACTTGTCAGCTGGTATGAGGTGGTGGTCGTTGATTTTCTGTCAAGCCTCTAGCAATTATCGTTTAGTAGAGTTTCAGACACTAAAAGCACTCTACTGCATAATCGGCAATGTAAGATATTTTCACTAAAGCACACTTCTAGGTCACCAAAATAAGACTATTTGTGTTATCTTGGGAACTGCACAGATAGGACCCTAATTCAAGCGTTTCGAATCTCATAACTACGGCCTCCAGCAGGGACTCACACACAAGGTGTGCAGCCTGAGAACTTCTTGTACTCATAAAATGTAGAGATTTTGTTACTTTTACACAGTAGGATAGATTCAGCCATAAACCTTTCATTAAACTTACCCATAACGAGGACAATTTTCGCAATAATGGGATGCCTCTAAGGCCCATATCGGTTTAAGGTCAACTCAAGTTTGCATGTTTTGGCTAATTATGCTCAACCTGCTTTGGCTTTCAATTTTTTACGCCGATGTTATGGAATTTAATGCAGTAATTGTACGTGGTGGCATGAGAATTGAATAGCAGGCACCCACTGCCTTGTAGACAAGTACCAAACTTCCACTGCCATTATCCTGCTCAAGATACACGAATATGACAGCAAACAATCCTGCAAAGTACACAGAGTTCACTAGAAGCAGGAATTGAATCATTCATGGCAGGTATCCCCACTTTTGGAGATCGTTCCTAAAATCATCAAAAAGGGAACTATTTAGTGTTAATAGTGAGGCCTAAAAAATCTTCACCCCGCCAAGTTCGTATTCACCACTATCATAACGTCCATTTCTAGTTTGAAAGTAATAATCATTCAAGACTAAGTTTGACTAAAGCACTCAAACAGAGATGTTTGTACACATTGTAAAAATAACCCTTGTAAGAAGCATTTGGAATTTGGCAACCTCAGAGATGGTGGAACACGCCTCAAGACCACAAGGTCACAATGAAGACCTACCTCAGGCATTGCGTAAATTCATCGTTCTCGTAATCCTCATAATCCCATTCCCCATCCCACACATTTTTATCACTCGCGTCCTCCTCATCTGAGTCCCAATCTAAAAGAGCGCAGAAAAAAGTGGCGTAGGTAATGGTCTTTGTTATGATCTCAGGGAGAATCCATTGAGATACTGTCTCACCTTCCACAATGAACTCCTCGAATTCATTAACGTCCTGGTACATCCCTTGCTTCTCGTTGGCATCTGATTTAGCCATTGTGAACTGAAAGGGGAGATGAGGCACTGGTTTTCCACCCCAATCTCAGAAATAGCGATGAAACTAATGTATTGTAATTTCAAGCTATGCAATGAACCGGACCGAGTGTAGTGAAAACAGCCGCGTGTATCTCAAGCTCGTACAGAAGTTGACACTTAGACAGTTGAATCCCACAGCACAACCTCTGAATCCGTAAAGTACGATATTCCAGAAATACAAACGCTACAGAAACGATAATTATGTTTAACGAGCCCACAATTATGCCACATCCCAGCAGCAACAGGAAACCCGCTTTCCCTTGTGATGCCAAAAAATAAAGCCAAATGCAACCAATCAAACAATTGCTCGACATACACTCATTGCTTACCAAAACAACGCTTAAAACATCACAAATATTCTTTGATTTACAGCGTGACGGTAGATGGCGAAATGTAAATCGTACCTCCAACTGACTCACATGAATGCATGTGCATGCATGAGAAGACTCGCTCTTCATGTTGACAGTTTACGGAGGTGATGGAAAACGGTGAGACAGGGTACACCATTTCGGTCCACTCAAAAAAACTGGTATTTTGGGGCGGATTTGATCACTAATCCTACCATCGCCTGATTCCATGAAAGCACAGTTAATCATCTTGCCTGATGTCGGTATCACAGAAATGAAGCTATTCACAGCCACCGCCTCAACAGCCCGTACAGAAATATTTGTTTCTGCAGTGAACTGCTTTTGATGACCATTCAGCCCTTCCTTTCAGGTTTTTTATTGTCTGGCTTAAGTAAAACTGTGATCAAACGAGTTTAAATCAAATTTGAAGGGCTTGAGTCTTTGTCTTCGACTGTATTCTGGGATAAATAGCTTTAAACGAATTTTTTCCCAACTAATTCAAAGGCAAATCGTTCTAAGAAGTTTTTTCCAGGCATGATTATTGTACAAATGAAAGCAAATGGAGACAGTAATGAGAGGTTCCCACGTTTGTATCCAAGACTCGAGAGATATGATTAAAGTACAGTACAAAACTAAAAAGGATGAGCTCGATGGCCATCAAAAGCAGTAGCTTTGACAAACTTTCCCGTCGCAGATGCTGCAAAACAGTTGCTGTTTACATTTCTCAAGCAAGAAAGCAAACACAAACCAAGCCAACGTTAAGGCAAAGCTGTGGTTAAAAATAATTTAATAAATTTTAAAGCGTATGTACACAGAGGAAAAGTGGGAGGGTAGGAAGCATTAAAAGTTCCTCTCAGAGACCGATTCGACCCCGTGGACGTTTTGAGACTGCTGGAGTGCCCGGTTTCCTCAATCCTGGTGTGGCTATTGGATGCCTAAACAAAGAACAAACGAAAATTGTGACTGCGTCTTGTGGTGGAGAAGCAGAGCAACAGATGGCAGAGACTCACATGCGAGAAGAACTCATGGAACGTTCGAGTTCCTCCCTGTGTCGGGCCAATTGAACTTCGGCTGCCTTCATCTCTGCCTCCATCTCAGCGCGTTCTGCATCCTCTCGACGCTGTCGTTCCTCTCTGCTTAGGCTCTGATCCTTCACGCTGTGAGGAGAAAAATTGATAACCTTTGAGTAACCTGGAACTCTTCCGAAAAGCAATGCTTGCTCAAGCCGAATTACATTCTACTATGTTCTCAAGCCACAATAAGCAATGATAATTCCAAGTTCCTACATTTTTTTTACTTAGTGTGAGGGTCTCTGAAACGCTGCGATAAATCAGGACAAAGAGGCACTAAAAAAGGGACCCAGAATTTTAATGAACAACACAGTTCAATGAGAAGGTTTTCTACCAGTCTTTATTCACCGAAAGTATGGTTAATGAGAGGAGCAAAGGATCCTAAGATAAGGCCAAAGTATCCTTGAGACCCTCACTGCTTTCAGCTTCACATATTTTTTGCTTGTAAACATGGCTGTGCGAACATTTACAAGCATAATGTATGTTTACACAGAATTCATCTCAAATCACATTTGTGTCACTCACAAAATAGTTAGCTATAGCAGGGAAGAAGACAGCTCTATTTGCTAACCAAGCGGTTGCCCATCGACAGAGGGCATCTCGCCTCTGAACACAGAGTTTCGCAACAGCAACAGCGTTGGTACTACAACCGATGAAGTTTAATGAGAAACTGAAGTCGAAGAGGAACTCGCAGCCATTAGTGGAAGAGAAAACGGAAAGAAGGCAAAAAGCACCATTAGAATGACATCCTTATCGAAAGTACTAGGAAGCTAAGAAATCTTACTACAGGCTACTTTGAAAGCTTAGGTGAACAAATATCGACAATCTAGGTCGCAATATTCTAGTTATGTGACGACTTGTAGGAATGGTGGTTACTTTGGTACTCGTCTTGTTCTTGTGCAAATTTATTCTTTCTCTCTAAAACATGCAGTCAGCTCAACTTAACGCCTTCAACCAAGTGGAACGGTCTACCCGCTCTGCTGATGCTGTATCCCAATAAGTACATACTGAACACCTGTGTAAGACCACTAACTTCATTAAGAGCTTTGAGTCGCTAACAAACCCATCATCACGCCAAAGTATGAAGTCGTTTCAAAATGACCCTCAGCATGAGACTTCACAGAATGGCAGTACTACCAACAGAAGAAACTTCACTGAAAAGTTCTCTTACGGAGGCCACACCTCTCTACATCACCGCTCTCGCATCTCCACTCACACAGCTTAATTCTCCATTTTGAGCTTTTGTAGCCAAGTACAATGGCTGCGTAGACCAGGTGCCAAAGTGAATTATTACATGAAAACCCAACTTCCAGGGCTCTACACGATAAGTACCTATGTACTGCACCACACCGCCAATTTCGGTTGGCACTAGACAAGGGGGAAAGCAATCAGCCGCACAATAGACATTGTACAAAGAAAGCAGGCCTTTTGCATTTCCAGTGCTATTGCTCTTAAGGGGAGCAAGTGCAATTAAGTGGCTATAATGGGGTAGCAGAAAGATAGAAGAGAGACAAAAAGGTCTACAAATAAGACATCAATGTTAAAGTGGTAGCTAAAATATGGATCCAAGATTTTTACCAACTATTCCAAAGCACAAGCTTTGGTCCAAGTTGTCAATAATTTCCAAAGAACTGCGAATATATTTGGAGAGAAGGCAGAATTAAGTAAGCTTATCGCCCAAACTTGCCGTTTAAGTTAACTTGCAGGCGACTCACATGGAGTCGGAACGACCGTATCTTTTAAAACAAGCACCTGGCTTCAGCTATAAAGCACTGATACGGTTCGTGTGAGTAGTCAGAGGCGTGTTTACCAAATGCTTTGTCCTCAGATCAAAAGAATGCAATTATTCCGCTGAGATACCAAAGTGAAACCATAAAATGCGACGGAGAAAGCAAATTACAAAGTGAAATAGCAACCACTCCCAATGACATCTTACAGAACCGAAAGCATAAAATTGTGGTTTGGGTGTATTATGAATAGTCCTTTATGATGCTCTTGGAAGTGGGGAACAGTCCGCGTCAACGGTATAAAATGGGCCACGTGTAAGAGTGACGTAAAAACTCAACGCCTTGCAAGGGAAGTGCAATAGGCGGATGGATGAGCACCATTAAAATGTCGAAGTTAAGAGAAAAGCACCTATTTTAAGCAAGTTTTTGGGATGAAGGAGGAGTAACCTTGGAGACAAATGCTCACGTCGTGAAGATGGTCTCACGCATTCGCTTTTTGTTAAAAAAGCGAGACGGTCTCCTCGAGGGAATGGAAAAGAAAGGCCTTGTGCGAAAATATCTCATCTTTCCACTCTTTAAAATCAACATTTGGCAGTTCAAAATACAAGTGTGACCAAGGCGTAGAAAGTGATAAAATATGAGACAATTGGGCTTCAACACTCCACAGGTAACTCGAACACCAAAAGGCGTGCTCAGTCAGTAACAAATATAAGCCAAACGAAAGAATGGTCAATGTTCACCCAAAATTTAGCACAGTAGGGGAAAAGTGTTAGGCTGCAACTGAGAAAAACGAAAGAGGAATAGAAAGAAAGTGTAAACTTCAAAAATGACCTTTAGCTGCTGCTGTTTTTTTAGAAGAGAGAATAAGGGTTCTGCTGCCAGAAACAATGTGAAGAACACGATTGCCTCCAATAACAGGAAAACCGAAGGATTTAGAAAAAAAAGATTATCTCCTACTAAAATGCCTAGAAGTGTAGTTTTGAACAGCAGCTACAAGAATGTTCGACAATATGATAGTGTTATGATTTGGTATGCATGAATATGGACACTATCACTGCGTAATTCAAGCGGAATGGTTTGAGAATGGCGAGGCCTCAAAATGGATGCGTTTAGTAGCGCAATTGTAATACATTAATGGATAAGAAAGGCGGCAGCCTTGGTGCGTGCACACCGATTCTCGAATGGATGGAGTAATAAAATTCCCAAGGTGTTCCGACGTTACCCCACTTGTTGAGCAATTATGCTGTCTCAAAAATATCTTCACGCAATAGTGCCTAATTGGAGAGAAATGGGGGTGTGATATTTCAAAATGAGGCGCATAAAGAAATGCCACCTTTTGAATCGCAAGAAGAAAATTTCTGGAAAGTCGGAATATGAATCCAGACGGATAGCCATCTATGTGGAGATGATTAAGCTGCACAACCGGTTCATACACGGAAAGCAGAGCGTCGACTGTGGCACTTTGTCAACGGCTTCCCTTAGTACGTAGGAGTTTGTAACAGTCGAATTTCCAATTACTCGCTCCTTTTAGGGATGGTGGTTTGTTCACAAATGAACGGAGAGCACCGAATTTAAATGAGCGAACGCACCTGTAGAAGACAGAGCCATATTCTGCCAGCCAACGTCCATCAACAGCGGTGACACACTGCATGTACTCCTTGGAGGTCATGACTAACTCGTGGTAAATTATGTAGTCGGGTGTGTAGGCCATGCCGTAGAGTGAGCTGGTGGGGTGTAGACGACAAGGCATACCGGTGCGCAGATTCACGTACTCCGCAAGCCCCTACACTCAGAATCAGAATAAAACAGGCATCAAGAGAGACTATAGTACCTAGTATGAAACCTCAAGTTGCGCCAAATTACTGGCTGATAAATTAAGTGCCTTAATCTAAATACATGTTCTGAATAGTGGAGAAAACTAGACTAATACACAAATGATAGTAGATGAGATTAAAATGTGGATGAGAAAAAGGATGCGAAGCATATGCTCCAACAGATTTGGCGAATGGATTCGAGAGAAAAACTTATAGGAAACACGGTAATCAACAAGGAACAGACGTTGTGCTAGTGCAAAACCAAAGCGTTCATACGATGGTGTTTAGCCGGAGTTCACCAGCGTGTAAAATCGCAGTGGAAGGTATGCAATGTGGATGAGCAAAATTGATATTACTTGTTGTAACGAAATCAAACGAGCAGGGAATTAATGATCAGTTATGCATCTCAACTTAAGTAAGAATCCTACCGGGACTTCAAAAAATAAGTTAACAAAAAACTAAGAATACTAATCAGCAGTAAGAAGTAAAGCAAAACGTTACACAAAGACGAGAAAAGAAAATGGACGCACCTTAATCCTGGCCGCCTGATGGAAGAAAGCAGAGCAAAGACAACGGCGAACAACATCCCAATCGGTGCCGCTGGAGCACAGGGCCACCTTGTGTTGCTCCATAATCTCCTTCAACTGCTGGCGCACCTCGCGCACCTTTCTCATCGCCTTCACGTGAATGAAATTCCGTGTACAGAAGGATGAGGAGTATCTGAACACAAATATATGCACGATAATCTTAATGCGAAGCAAAGGAAGGCATATAAAACAGAGGGAGAAAGGAAGCAGATGTTTACCCGGCTTTGCGCCAGCGAATGAAGACGTTGAGATAAGTGAGATGGTCCGATTCTGGAACCTGTAAAAATGTTTGAACAAGTGGCAAGTAGCGTAGTTAGGATACGAAACTGGACTCACTGAATTAGTCTAACAAAAAAATAAAATACTGTTCCTTTTAAGAAAATCACAAGAGGCTTTGGCCTAAGACATTCAAGAATGCCATGTTCAACGGACCGTAATCCAAAGGCAGTAAGACAGACCCTTGACAACAGCAATAGCATTGGCTGTCAGTAAAATAAGATGAAAATGGAGCAGTACCCAGCACTGATGCATGTATGTTTGCAAAGACGAGTAAGTCTTAGCATTAATCAAAGGAGGAAGCTTGACTTCAACCAGTAGAGACACTTTAATTCGACATGCATCCGAAGACAACTATTTCATTTTACACATTTGACACTTGTGATAACTCATAACAGCTACTCAAAAAAATGAGTAGCATTTTATCTAACCTGGAATTTTTCCCTCGCTAAATCGGCATCCTCCTCACGTCCCTTGGGTCGGAAGAAAATAGACGGCACTGAAAGCATCGACACGATGGTGAGAGCCTCTTCTGAACATCCCATCTCGCAGGCGACGAGAAGGAGCTTAGAAAGCGCAGGATCAAGCGGGAACTCGACCATCTGCCGCCCCAGTTGGGTGAGTCCGCCTGTGTTATCCAACGCCCCGAACACCCACAGCTGGCACATGGAATTGAGAATGTTGTCTTGCGGCGGAGGGTCCATGAAGTGAAATCGCATTAAATCTCGTACGCCCAGGGATTTAAGAAGAAGAACTACATTGGCTAGGTTGGTGCGTTGGATCTCAGGCACGGAGGAGACTAGCATTTCCTCTTCGAATTGACCGATTGTGTAGAGACGGTAGGCTACCCTAGGCGCCAAAGCAAAATGCTAGATTGATTACCAGAAAACATCCAGTTTAAAAGCACAATGTTTGCTAAGAATTGGTAAATATCGCAGTCGGATGGTTAACAATGAAGAGCTATAAGTTTTGACAAGATGTCTCAGATCACCTTAAAGTCGAAACTGGAAATGGCGTCAACTTAACCCAGCTTGATACGACAGCAACTTAACCACCCAAGGTAAGTGTCACAATTAAAGTTAGTGGTAAGTGAAGTAATGGAGCTAACACTGACGATAAAAGAAGCTCACCCGGGACCTGTTCGACCAGCACGACCAGCTCTCTGGTTGGCATTAGCTTGACTGATGGGAAACAATTGAAGAGCATCCATGCCGATACGTGGATTAAATACCTTCAGCTTGCAGTAGCCCGCGTCGATGACGTAACGAATACCGTCCACTGCAGAAAAATACGGAAATGGGTAACTATTGCCCAAAATGGTGTAAAGGTTAAAGTTAGAAGCTCAACCTGTGAGCGAGGTCTCCGCAATGTTTGTGGCAACCACACACTTTCTTGTGTTGTCCTCCGTCTTCTGAAAGATCTTTGCTTGAAGATCACTTGGCAATTGGGAGTAAATGGGGAGCACACAAAGGGGCGGAGCCTCCTCCAAATTTCCCAGACGCTCGGCAATCAATTCGCATGTCACCTCAATGTCTTCTTGACCCGTCATGAAGACGAGAATATCTCCTTCTGGTGATCCTAGGTGGACTTGAATTGTCTGCTTCACTGCCACGTCCACATAGTCCATAACGGGTGACTTGCTGAATTGAACGTCCACAGGGAAAGTTCGCCCAGGAATGTGAAAGATGGGACAATCGCCAAAGAACTGGGCGAATTTGTCTGCGTCCATTGTGGCCGAGGTAATAATTAATTTCAAATCGTTGCGACGACTTACGATCTGTGATGGATGAACTATTTAGCTTCACGAAATGGGGAGATAGAAGAAAAAAATAAAGACGAACCTCTCTAAGGAGACCAAAAAGGACATCAGTGTTGAGAGAGCGCTCATGAGCCTCGTCCATAATGATGGCAGAGTAAGGATCGAGATCGGACTCGCGAAGAGATTCACGCAAGAGAATACCATCGGTCATGTACTTAATCACAGTCTTTTCGTTGGTGCAATCCTCGAACCGAATAGCGTAGCCAACCTCCTCGCCCAGACCGACGCCCATCTCATCAGCAACACGCTTTGCCACTGACATGGCAGCGACACGACGGGGCTGGGTGCAGCCTACCATCCCATAATGCGTGTAACCATCCTCGTGAAGATATTGAGTTAACTGAGTTGTCTTGCCGCTACCTGTTTCCCCCACTATCACCACAATCTATAAGACAACAACAGGCAGAGTGAATAGACTATTCTCAGGAGAAGAACAAAAAGAGCTGATACACAAGATCTAAAAGGTAGTACGAGTTGTGTTTAACCATGAAACTAACCTAATGAAAATTTCATAGAAAGGTAACTCAAAAGTAAAGGCAGTTTCACTATAATGCTAAAAGGGAACCATGGGTAACTGAGGAGCAATCCTGAATGTTACCAGCTAAATGCCGAGGAAATGCACTTGCACTCGTGATCAAATAATAAAAATGGGAACTAAGTGAAGAAACGAACTTGATGCTCCTTAATAAGACGTAGCAGAGCCGACCGAACTCCAAATATTGGAAGGAATTGACGTTGTTCTTTAATGGTTTTCGACTTAGCAAAAGTCGACACTGCTTGATCCTTATAGCCGCCAATCTTGTCAGCAAAGGTCTGCGACTCCCGGTAGGAGGCCTCGTTCCATTCTCCATCTTTCTCACCGTCCTCGCCTTCTGCGCGTTTAATGCCCATAATCTCACCAATCCGAGTGCCTGCCAGCTCCCATTCCTTCTTCTGTGCACGTCGGCGTTCCTTCTGCTCTCGGAAGTAGCGCACCATAGCACTCCCCTTTGTGGCGACCTTCGTCATGATCCCGTCCGGATCCTAAAGAACCAAGTACTACGAGCTATAGGTGCCTGGTACCCTACTATCTTAAAGTGTGCTCCGAATCTGAAGGAATTAGGGAGTGAGAGGCGCCTGAAACGATCCAGAGCCAGTGAATGTCTGGATATCGACACATTCTAACCCTCTGAATGTGCAAGCTATAGAAATAGTGACGAACATAAAAGTGTAGACTCATTCAAATTTTCAATTCAAACGCAGTGACAAAGTACACCGAATTTCAGGACACTCATGTGAATAATAAAGCATTGATTTTAGAACCTCATAATACTACCGATTTCAGTATTTAATGAGATTATAAGATACTCACCTTCACAGGCATAACAGGTTCAGGATGTCTGGTAAAGATGATACGTCCATCAAGAAAAGGTGGCATGATATTCTTCACCAAGAGATGGACTCGAGCCTCACCCTCCTCATCCAAGTCTTCCTCATCTTCATCCACACCGCCAAGGTCGCCCTCTCCACCGGTGCCACCAGTAGCAATACGCTCAACTACACCGGAGCGCAGCATGCGGTTAATCTCCCACGCCTGATTCTCTTTCTGGATCTGCACTGCTCGTGCTGACATTCGTAGCTTCTTGCGTCGACGAGCTTCGGCCAGTTGGCGCTCTTTTTTAGCCACGTAATCATCAGGAACGTCTTGAAAAGGTAAAACATGAAATAAAAGCTCGTCTGGAACAAAGGCCACCTTAGACACATTGACCTCCTCAAGCGTTGTGTCCTGAGTCCTACCGAGCTTCTTGGAATCGCCAGCATCCGGATGTGCACACCGCTTAGTCGACTGTCCAAAGGCATTCAGATCAATGTAATTAGGATCTCTAGTCTCCTACACCTTTTGTACCGTGGGAATAAGAATGTAAGGAAGTCGCCATGAAACTGCACCGTATTCAAATCCACCTGATGCGATTATTGTTAGTACGAATAATAAAACTAATAGTGTCATACAGGATGTGTGCACAGCTATTGGAAGAGTGCCTTAATTAACCGCGTAATGAGGTGATCACAATCGACACGGTTCCGCTCCAGGTGACAATGGCTATGCTTCTCGTCACTCATGTCGAAAGTCAACCTCAGATAAATGCCTCCGAATGGAGAGCATAATGAAGCTGATTCCTTTTCAAAGGATATCGACCACATCAAAGAAACGTTGCACAGTAAATCAAGTGGTAAGTGAGAGGAGTAAAATAAAAGACTCACCTATGAACGGATTGTTGCCCTCATCATAACCATTGTCCATCAAATACCAATTCCTATCCAGACGTTCTGCCTCCGCCTCCATTTCTTTCTCATCCACAGGAACAAAAGGCGTCTGTGAGGGTGTCCGCATTTCCTTCGCCGGTGTGGGAGCTGTTTGTTTGTTTCTACCACCGCCGAAACCGCTCTTCATCCATGGATTTTGCATGTAAGATGGCGTCTGCAGAGGCGTGTATTCGTACCTAAAGCGCTTCTTCTCTCCTGTCTCGTTGTCCCTCTCCCAAGGAGTGGAACGGGAAGGGGTGAAGCCGGGTGTGTCTGTTGGTCGAAGATGGCGTGGCGTCTCAATGTAACGTGAAGTAGTGTTGGAGCGATATGAACCAGTCCGCGGAGTCTCTGCTTCCCAGTCACGCTCCCGACGCTTGCGGTCACTCTCCTCTGCCTCAGTACGACCAGTGAAGTGTTCACTGCGGCTACTATGATGTCGGCGGTAATCACGATCATCATCTTGGTGTCGCGGATGTTCTACTGAATGAGAATGGGTACGAACGCTTTAAACCATACAAAATGTTGGAAATTGAGACGCATCTATTTATTAACATGATGATTCAAATTTTCAACTTCTTTCGATTAGATCGAAAATCTCCTGTCATGACCATTAAATAAAGCACCGTTCTAGTAAACGTTACGGAAATTTGAAGTTCAGCTACCTACAAGTGTCCACGTTTCAGAGCCTCCAGATCGAAATTGCAATGTACCTCTATTAAGAAAAGCTCGAATTCTGCATTATCTAGGGCCAATTACATTGAAAATAGGCAAATAAATTGTTTAAATTCTACCTCCATAATGCCATACCCTCAAATGACCGACCTTATACAGTAAGACTCAGTTAAGCGGTTGTGATAGGTAAAGAATAAAGATCCACTGGTTCGATAATGCACTAAAGACAAACGAAGAAATCAGAGAAATAAATTCATCACTCGGCTAATTCTATTCGACAACAGAAGATGGGTAGATTTCGCACCTTAAATTCAAACGTCAAATTATACAATATTATAGTTCTCTGAAAAGCTCAATTGTCTCGGTTTTGCCTTTTAATGGAGACTGCTATATAATGATCGCCCTGGTTTTGGGAAGGCAAAGTATGCAGACTGCTATCAGGGGGATAATTATTGCATCTTTTGTTCTGGGTTGGTGTAATGATGAATAACTCATAAGGCTGATTAAGCTGTCATTAAAAGTAAGCCGTCATAACAGTCGGAAGTCAAGAATGGCCTCGACTCAAATATTTGAGTTCCAATAGTCCTAATAGGCTAAATGGGAGCCAAGCATTGAGAACTTATTGCCTGCGGTAGACAACAATGGGACGAGTCACCAATACTGTTTCAAGATTTTTAATTTCTGAGACACACAATTTGGGTCACCTTAAACATCCCAAAACACAGTAAAACGTTGGTGCTTTTGGATTGTTAATCACAGGCAATGAAAATATGGCCTAGAAAGTATCGACACAAGCAAAGTTTGCTCATTTATGCTCCATAAATATGCAAGTGACTAGATTTCAAAGCTATGTTTAACAATAACGACACCAAACTCAAAACACACTCAAACTATGTGAAATAGCTAACGAGTAGATAGCAATAAATCATACTTTTTCCTTTGTGTTTGAATGGGTCACCGGTCTTGTAAGCCAAACCTGACTTAAACTGTCCAGCTTTCTCGCGACTTTTCTTGTACATCTGGGAGTCAAGATAGTCCTTACTAACACCACCTCCGTAAGAAGGTGTTTCGATTCGCGGTTCCCGGTAGTTTCTAAAATGATTGAGTGGCTCGTGAACATTTTATAGATAAAAGAGGTAGGCAGGGGAGGATGACGCACCGCTGCTTGTAAAGAGAAACTGTTGATTGTTCGTTTTGTGACTCACTCCGCTTCTTGGCAGCAAGCTTATCGAGCCCAAAAATGGAATTCTGTGGTTTTTTGAAAACATGTGAATTGTTGTCAGTGGCAGAAGCACCCTTTGGATATACAAGACCACCTTTATCCCTTGTGTCGGACCCTTCAAGCTTGTCAACTGACCCAAATGAGTCCATGCCGTAGTAAAGCTAGAAACAAGCAAAACAACTTACACAAAACAAGCGTCTCAAATCAGGCACAAACGATCAAATGGTACTATAATGAAAAATAGCAGTGAGGTTTTGAAGATGAATGATATCATTCACAAACGTGGAACCATTCCACCACAATTAAATCACCTAGGGAAACTTAACACGCACTCAGACGAGCCGCACAAACACCTACTGATTAAAATGAACCGCGGTGGTATGGGAGTATTATAAACGGAATATTTTCCATCTGAATTTTAAATAGTTAAGTCTAAAATGTTAATATTTTGTGTGGGTTTTAAACAGGTGTGCATAAATTGTTAACTGACATTTTTTAAATACAAAAGAGATTTGCCAAATTGTGGTAGCAGGCAATCCGACTGATCACCACGGTCCATATTGCCGCCTACCAATTCGATTGTTCCATAGGATTACTTAATTGCATTACTAATGTACAAGGAGACTGAAAGGGTGGTGGCTGCAATACTTTATTTATGTGACATTCGGCGGTCACTTTAAGATTTGTCTGGCCCTTATACTCATGGGCTGGCCATCGAGCCATTTGCCATTCTTCGGAATGCATGTGTCTAGCCACACTTACTGCCTTCTTCTACCCTATGGGAAGTCTCGGGAGTCTACAGTGGCATTAATTGAGGCAATTTTATCAGGATGACTCTGGATTCCGGGTGTAATGAGGCGCGGATATTAAAAGGGTGTTTTTAATATATACTAGTGTGCTTAAATCTGTCTTTATAAGGAGGGGGGCGGAAAATCAGTTCAAACATGAATAGAGTGTGAAGATCCCTTCCCAAGGGGACGTCGGCTTTCCATCTCATCTGTCATTCTCCATTTCCTTCCTTTCTACACACGATGCCAAATAAAGCTTCCACAACTAAATCTCTTCCGAAGTTCAAGGCTCAGGAGCCTGAGTGTAAACGGACTTGTGGAAATGAAAGTCAAAGGTCCTCGTTTGAAAGCACACAAAAATCGAAATCGCAGTCAAGGTTTTCACTTTCTTAGCATGTATTCCCGGTCTTCTCTGTAATTTAATAGCACCACCCTTCCTGAATACCACTAGGCACATTGATGTGAAATGAAAATTTTTATAGTTTCCATGACCTACTTGGACAAAAGGAAGTTATGGTACCAAGGGCTGCTGGCAGTATCTGGAGGGTTGCCCACCCGCCCATGGCAAGAACGCTTAACCAAATAACCAAAAACCAGGCTTTAAGTAAACAACAAACGTGTTACAATGGCTGATGAAGTCCTAATCTGAAAACAACCTTTGAATGTCTCATTCTACCTTTACTTGTTGAATTTGTTCACCGATTCTTTTTTGGTAGCATTGTATGTAAGCTCTCTGTTAACAAACGCTCCTTTTATCACTAAGAGCGAATTGAAAACAAGATTTTAGGCTTAAATGTGGCGGCATTGCATTCGCTTTATCCCATTTTATGTCTAATAACCATGCAATATTTTCATTGTGAAGATACTTCCTTTCGAGGGCATATGTCCTGATTATTCTATGGACGGCCCGAGACGCCACTTCGATATCAATGGCTAAATGCAGTGCAGAGATTTGAGTATGCAGGCTTCGCCCGAAGTCCATGACTTTTAATGTGTGTAGAGTTTGAGGGCATTAAACTTCATGGCTAATTAAACATGAGTCTTCGTAACGTATCAAGACATCGCTTGGCCTGGCTTTCTTAAGTTCAAACCACTCCAAATGCTGATTTTACTGTTATAAACCAGATCATTTGTTAATTTATGACGGCCACTATTTTGTTGAAACAGGAAAAGTTTGAGTCAGTGGTAACCGACTCTTTCCTAGGTGACCCACGTTTCGTTAGACGAGGAGATAGGAGATGGACTTTTGACTTGGCTTTGAGGCTAGCCCAACCAACAGGGGCATTACGACTACTCCAGTGACAGTCACTCATATCGACAGTCAAATAATGTCGAATTTTCTCTGAAATTTTGTCCTTTTCGCCATAAGTCTAATGGTCATGGCCGTTTAAAGTTACCATTTGACATGCATTCCCTTGCTTTCTCACGGAGATTGATGCTAAAGAGCGGAAGGACAGGACTGTGGGCAGTGGAGAGGCCGAGTAATAAAGTGGGACCCACTTAGTGTGCGTGATAAATATGAAGTAGTGGCGTCACGTGCATGTGGCACTGCTAACGCAGGTATCAGTTGCTTAGTCGCTCTCCAATTAAAGAGGCGCTCTTCGGAAATCAGGAACCATTAAAATCTTGACTAACAGACTGCCATAAAAATTGTGTCATAAAGAGAATGCTACCTGTATTAGTGAAATTAAGATAGAATCATCTAAGACGCATTGGTAGAGGCTGTTAGCATTTCCAAGATTATTGTGTTCCTCATATCAGCGGCATTCTTCCAGAACTTTTGCATGAAAGTTATACCAGGAAGAGAAGCTCCGTAGTCTTAGTTCATGCAACAAGTTGCTATGCTCCAAAACGTTTTGCAAGAAGCTTCAAAGGTCTATTTTGAATGGTTTAAGCAGAGCTAAACTTTATTTTTGGCCGGCTTTTAGAATTGAGGATAGAAATCTCTGCGAGTTTAGTCATTCCCAGTAAATGCATTATTTTCCGGACTCTTGGTTGTGATGGTTGCCCAAAGAAGTGGGAACTTTTCGTCTTCCCTGCTGCCACCACGGTAACTCTGAGGGAGGGAATGGACGAATTGTCAGTCTACTCAACCGTGGAACCAAATTCCAAGCAATAAAGTAGGTCATTGGATTAAATGCTCGTTTAATGCTCAAGCACTCGAGTCATGTCCATGTACATCAAATGAGAAAATGAGAGATTGCAAGCCTAAGACTATGAAAAATTCCCAATCATTAACTTCCTGGAAGTGGAGTAATGGTGACAACTTCACTTTCTTTATAGCACACCAACTCGTTGTAGTTTCTCTCCTCTCCCTCTCCCAAAGCTGAGAACATGAACGATTTGAGCAAAATTGATGGAGAATAGGTTGCAAATTCCAAAAGCAGCGTCGAAGGGAAGACGTGAGGCTTAGGACAATTTTGGGGTAGCACAAGCCTTGGTAAGGTGAAAGACACCAATTCAGTAGGCCCCAATCACGCAAATAATTGCCGTCACTACCACTCATTGTTCATGGAAGGTGCATCAAATGTCTTCCCAGGCAATGCAATTTCTCCCAGTAAGGAGAGAGTGAAGATTGTTGTCAAACTGGACAAGGTGGGCGTGATCGGAGATGATCTTTTCCAAAAAATAAAGTGCATCACACTCGCATTCTTGTTAGCATTGTACCTCCTCACAACGGTTGCATAAAAGTTTAGTTGCTATCGGTAATGAAGGTTGAAGTACCAACCCAGTAACACTCAGACGCAAAGTAGGCCAATCTCACCAATTTATCTTCACAAAAGCCTATTTTAATTTCTTTGCGCCAATAAATGCCCCTTAAATTGTAAACTTAGAGTCGAAATTAAGCAGCTTGAATGGTTTTTAACCCTGTAGTGAGTGAAAAAGGGGAAGGCGATTAGTTGATTCGACTTTAGGTTTCATTTATGCGTGGCTTTGCACAGCTTCACGATGCCACCACCTCCAGGTCAGGCTTGCTATCCCTCGTCCTTCTGGGCGAGTATTGTAGCGTCGATTGTCATGAGGGAGGCCTTTGATTGCCGCATTGGTGTCAGTGAAATCCAAATACGGTCCCGAGATCAAGTAGTCTAACGTCAGTTAGTGAAGGCTCTGCCTAAAGTCCACCCAACTTTAATCAAGATCCCCCCAACACAGTCCAACTTCGGATCTAAGCTTCACCCCAAGCTTCTCTTTTGACTGGACATTTCAGCCACCCAAATAAAAACATTTGTCGTAAGGTCAAAGGTAGAATCAAGTTAGAAGTGTCAAAAATTCCAGGGCATTAAGCATTTTAAGTAAAAAAAGAACTCCTATCTATAATTGCGATGAAATGGTTTTGAAGACAAACTTCATCCTGCTTCAACTAATTTACTATTCAAATCGAAAAACTCAACTCTTTTCCGTTTTACAGTCGCACCATGCCTTCCAGTCAAAATGCCAAGTCCCTCTGTCTTTTGTTGAGTTCGTCTCGTTTACCAGGAAAGTCGGTAAATAAATATCCAAAAAGTTAGAATATTTCTACCTTCCACTGAGCAAGAGTTAATACCTGGAACTTTGGTAGACAAAGACAGCCTCAAGAACAGGTAGTGTCTGACCCTTTAGGAGCCAAAAAAAATAATTCCTTGTAGAAAGGGTCGCTTCTTCATGGTCCTCACAGTGGCTTAAAAAATTTTTTTTTTGCAATTTTAAACAATCAATCCCAAAGAACTTATGCATGGAAAGGAAGATGTGGGCTGAACGCTTAATGCTACCTTCTTTTTCACCTTTTCTCCTGAGAATGCGAGTGTCATTTAATCGCCTCTTCAAAGCCCAGCACCACTGACATTCGTTCCCAACTTATCGTGGCTACTGAGGCAGGTTGAGTTCAACATTTTGAATCCTTTACTGCCTTGCTACTCATCATCACGACCATCGTCCTGCACCTCAGCTTTGCTGGAATTTAGGGGGATTCGGAGTTTGTGCCTCTTTCGGATTATGTTACAACAAAGCTAGGTGACACTTGATACCACCTCAAAGGCGGCAATAATATGAACGAATTTGGATGTAACTTGATAGAGATCTGGCAAAAAAAGACTTAGAAGCATACAAAGATAACACCGAAAGCAACAGAGGCACACTTTCATCCAAGCCACTTGCTGATGGGTTCTTCACTTCACAAAGCTTTACTTCCATGGTTAGTTTTACATGTGCTCGACCTCAACCAGCACAAAGGTGATTAGTACTGAAGTGAATGCTTTTTGTGGAAACAACTTCATCAGCAGGGCAGATTTTATTGCCGTTAAGACTCTATTTATGCATAGAGCAGGGTTTGCGATTAGGCACATTGAAAGGTGAGGAGCAATTGCCCAACTTTATTCATAACAAGTGTTTCTTCCTGTGTTGAATAAACACCTAAAGGATGTCTGGAATAAAGTTTTGTCGGTGTAACTAAGCAAATTATATTCGTAAAGTAGTCGAATCCCGATGTTATGTCCCTTCGACACAGTCTCACTTACCTAGTCAGACGATTACTGTAGATACATGACTTGCAAGGAAATTGAACACAGCGAGTTGCTCAAATTAGTAAATTCGACCAAGTTGTCTTACAACCATTTCGTAGGAAATCTGGACTAGAGAAATGGGCGTCATATGACCCTGCACGATTCACTGTATGTGGTTACATAATGCGCCTGTGATGGTCTGCATGCTGTGTTCTGTATCCAAAATCTGTGGGTCTTGATTTGGGGGTTGAGAAAAAAGAGTGGTGTTTTGTTGCTCCTTCCCCAAATAGGAAGGAATTTGATTTGTAATTGAACATTTAGTGAAGCTACTTTGAAGTCAAAATACCTCCTCGAGGGCTGACAAAGACGTTATGCCAGGGCGGAATATACACGCTCTACGTGGAGAGGAGCAGAGGAGCTACTGGCACGGCGCGGAGGCGCTGCTTCTTGACAGACTTTTACAGGCGCAGTCCTGCACGCACGGCATCAAACTTCAGTAAAGTATTACAAAGCATTAGATTACACAATATTTTTATGGTCGATCTTGCCTCACATTTCCTCATCTCATTAGAAAAATGTCTTACGGAAGTAACTTGGCTTAAGCACAAGTGAGGAACAAAGAATAAAATGAAAATCGTCCCAAATGACTCAGCATCGTGGCAAATTGTGGCAACTTTTTATGATGTACCGCTTAGCACTTTTCGCCTTCATCAAATGGGAGAGAGTTCAATGGAGGAAAAGGCAAGATCTTCATGATCCCACGAGGCCATGATGGAATTGACAGGGACTCTTGTACTGATAAAATAGTAACTGTACATTTACTCACACTTGACAGCCAAACCAGAGGCAATCTGCGACTAAATGAAGGCGGTAGAAAAATGGGAAAAAGTTAGGCAATCACACTTCACGCCATGTCGGATTTGTACACACATACATACATCCAGCTCATTGAGCAAACAAGAGAGATGCAAATGATGTCAAAATGGACCCTGTGCTACTTTCTACACTCATCCGACGCAGAGGCAGTGCAGACGGTAGCGGAAACGTCACATGGATCGAGGGAGACCTCCCCGGTGTTCCACCGCCTCTCCGACTTGTGTGAGTGTCTCTCTTTGTGAATCCTCCTTGGCTTCTCTGGCAAATTGAATTTTACACAGCGAGAAGGGGGCGAGACGGAGGAGAAAAACACGTTGCCTCTAGAGTTAGCCGAAACAGCGGACGCAGAAGCGGTAGCCGTTTGACTCCCGTGATGACTCAAGCCTTCGGAAGACGATGAAGAGCCAGAGTAGTGATCCACTGTGTGAGTTGACGTTGGTGTTGGTGAGTTCTTCATGATGCTTCCCTTCCGTGTGTTGTGTTGAGGCGAGAGATCCGGCTCCGATGCGGGTGTCCGTAAAGGTTGAACTAACTGTTCCCTTCGCCGCTGTTGTTGCCGAAGAGTGCTTACTTCAGTCGCCAGCGACTGTAGGTCGATTCGCATTTCCTGAACATCGTGAATCAACTTGAAAAGAAGCACTTTCAGCTCTTTTTGCTCCCCATTGTTGTTTGATAGTGCATCAGCTGTGGGCTCGCATGTGGGAGGGGTTCCATTCGGCGTGGGAGGTGGTACTTCAGCTTGGGAATTTTCGGTTAAAAAGCTATCAAACAAACAATTCCGACTTAAAGAAAACATAAAATGTATCACAATGATGCCATCTACACCTTTTATCAATTTTAAAGTATGGTAACATAAAATCCATCCAAAAAGACAAGTTGGACTTTAGATGCCATCTTTGGAGTCCACTTTTGGACTAAAAATCTCATTTATTTTACCCACAATTTTAGAGTCTAAAAATAGGAACTTCAGAATCACCAAATCATAAGCAAAATATAGTTTGTAGTTCGTCGTCTCAACTTCGACAGGCGAAGGCTTAGGGGAGAGCTGCCACTGCCTCACCGTCGTACGGTACAGCCTTCGGGTTATGGTAGCATCCTTAATTCCTACTATACAATGACAATACATATTCTATCCAGGCATTTTTTACTCTGTTCTCCTGCTAACGCCCTCTAGCACTTCATTTCCTATCCGCACACTGCAATTTAAGAAGGCGGCACAAGTCCACTCTCAAGTGTGGTGCAATTATTTACCTTCGCTTCGTTGCAGTCCAAAACACAGATTTCAGTGCCGAGATTGTTGGTCTGAGTTAAGCCTACTGCCTCTCAACTCCCCTGCAAGCTAATAATAGACCAATCGTTCACCCTATTAAAGGTCCTTGGCGGGATGAATGAAAATGCATACTGACATGGGCAGAATGAACTTGCCTTCAGTCAATGACAGCCAGTAAAAATTTTCCTCTCTAAGTGATGCGAAAGATTTATTCAAAAGATCAGAATGTTTCGGTTAAATGGGGAGTTGGATCGAGAAGCACAAAAATTTTGCACACATTAAAAATGCAAGTGAAAGTCAGTAAAGCGCATTTAGAGGGAATATAAAACCATTTGGACAGAAGAGAGGGGATTTGTCCGTGAGACCTGTTTTGTAGAAAGAGTGTGAAGAATGCGTCCGCATTAGCCCAGAAATTTGAGTCACGTCGCATATTTCCTGCACAAATTTCCCTATGGAATTGCTGCGTTGCCAAGTTCAGTGGGTTGCAAGCAGTTGCCAAGAGAAGATGAAGTTGCGTCTGTCATTCCTCTCAACAATGCTCTTATTTTGACAGTAAAATGCTCTCGGGGAGGCGGTTATAAGGTTCAGCAGCACAAATTGCGGTGACGAAATGACAGGCGAGAAATTTGATTTAGCACTTTAGCACTGCTTTATTTAAGAAACTTTTGCCGCTTGGTAAAATTAGTTTCTTTTCTTTTTCATCTGAGACTGCTTTTCAAGGCAGTTTATTCTATTCAGGGATCGTTTTGACGTGTGGCACTTGTAAGTTTGGCAAATGGATCTAATTTTCGGAAGTACGCCTCAATTTTAGATACAAGAGGCTCGCACGATTTAGTAGAGGTGAACGGAAAGGTGATTATTGGCTATCTGTTTAGGGGCATGCTTTAGTGGCAAAGTGTCTAGTGGAACCGCGTCACTAATAGGAAACCTCAAAAGCGAAATGTTGATTTTAAAGGACCGATAAGGTGGCATATTTGGACCAACTAGCTTCTTATTCAAGGTGCCGCCCTTCCAACTTACAAGGAACGGAATAATGTGGTGACAGATTTAAATTTATAATAGACAATAAATAGGGGATGAATGGGGAGTACCACCTTGATTCCACTCCTAGACGAGTGCTACTTCAAAAGTCGGTCGTGATACACAATGCACAGACTGTAGAACATTGCATAACATTAGCCAAAACGTTGTCCACTGGATTCCTAACTTAGGGACGTAAAAGTAAAACCTTTACAAATTTGTCGTATGGTGAGCCGCAGTCGGGTTCCCGTCAGTGAATGAAAATAATGGTGCTGTACTCACTTCCTCCCCACAAATAATTGAACGCTCGAAAAGTGGTATTAGAACTAGTCTAGAATAGTCGGAGAAGAGAAACAAAACGACTTGCGACTCCTTTGCTCAACTGCCCGCAGGTCGGCTTGCCTACTAGTAGTAGCCTTCATTCTGGTTGACCAACGAGGAGGAATAGGCTACTTTGGGGCAAAATAACAAAATGCCCCATTGAGGTATAATTACACTTACGCTTCATTGACACGTTCAATGGAGCAGATACGTCGTGTGGATTTAGCCGCCTCCCGCTCCTCACTTGACGGCATAAACGAGTCCATTGAGAGGTTTGTATGTTGACGTATAACCCGACCTCCTCGACACGAGAATAAGAGACTCCTCTTGACCTTTGAGGTCAAGGACTCTTCACCCTCATTAGCTTTTACCGCCGCTGTCGTAGACAAATTTTCTCCCCCAAGTTTATCCACCGTAGCCTCGCTGTCCGTTGGCAAGGCGGCAAGGTACCATCGACTCTGTCGAGCGCTTCCAAGCAGGTGCTCCTGAGAGCCTCGAAGACCTGGTGAAGCGCTGAGATCGCCCTCTTCTAATGCACGATGCAAACTGTTGGTACTGCTGTTGCTAAGTCTGTGGTCAGCATTGGTTCCAGAAAAGCACTGCGGTGTAGTGGATGGACTTTGAGGCGGAGATGGAGAATGCTTTGTTATCGCTGCTAGAGTCTCGATATCGTCTTTGGCGAACTGAAACAAGAGACCATTCCACACAAACTTACCTAAGCCGTCTTAATCGGAGTTGTTGTTGCAGTCCATATTTTATATTTAAATAATTCCTCATCAGCTATCATGTGCACCGAAGCTCTTAATTTTAGATGAACGGAGTAGTGCCTCACTTATACTATGGTCCACTCTATAAAAGTGGTCAGTTTAATACACCATAAATCTTGCTACAGCCGTGAAAGAACGTTTGGCGCTAAATAAAGTTTCGTGCTGGCCAAGATCCATAACTCTGACCCCAAAAATTTTTCACTTGAACAGAAGACTTTTAAGTATGGAAAGAGAAGTGTAGTGTCGGACTTTTAAGCAGTGCAAACATTTCGAGGAGGATAGAACGCCTGCTTGGTAGGGGCAGGCTCAACCGCAGTGGCGTCCCCAGTCCGTATCAAACGAGTTCCTCTCGTGAATCTGCATGCAGCTGTCGGAGAGCCTATTTTTCACTGAACACCGCATCAAGGTGTAAACTGTGGCAAGCTCAAGTGTTTGTGGCCACAAAAGGGAGCACGTTAGCTAGCCTGGACGGTTTCAGTTGCAACAGTGAAGCTCTTTTTAACTGCAAAACCCCCATGCATTGACTCAGCACCGAGATGAGTGTTGAAGTGCAACTTCAACTTCCTTTAGTGTTTCTAATTTTAGCACGATAGTGGCTATTTGCTCGTCTTAGTGAGTACTGAATTAACATGAGAGTCGTAGAATGCAGCGTTTACGTGAATACAACGCTTGGGAAAACGATTACTGTAGTGGCGGATCATTTATCAACATTCAGCTAGTCAAAACACCTTTTTATTCGCGTAGAGAAATGCGTCTGCAATAGCAAATGCACATGTTGCTTGGCCTCTTGAAAAACGAAATTTCCGGTTGTATTTACTGTAACTTTAGCAACTTCATGGAGACCTGCGTTAGGGTGTGCTGTTGCAGCTGTTGTACAGATGCCAGACAGACTAAATCTACCGAATTTAGCGATTTCTCATGACGGCGTTCCATACCTTCATCGGTCGCCCAACTCCTTGCCTTGATTTTGTTAACCGATTAGTCTCTGTGACTTTCAGTTCAACTTGGAGCCCCTTTTGTGCGCCAGAATTGTATAGTCTGTCCCAGCACTATTGGTTTAGTCAGTTTGAAAGAGGCCATAGGACTCTCCATTGATGAAAACAAGAAGCCAACTTGATCGCAAAGAAAATTTGCTCCCAATTCTACCTCTAAATGCCAAAAGTCTGAAGTGTACATAGAAGAAATTTATATCATTTGGTAAGAATCGGTGATTGCGCCTAAAATAGAAGGGTTAAAGTGACATTCATGCTTGGTAATTGTGTGTTTTAGCATACTGGTGAAATGCTGTTAACTACAAGCTACTAAAAGTTTGTCGTCAAACAACCTGGAATACCTTTTAGAGGATTTCTCATGGGTTAGCTTGGGATGCATCAACCACCTCTACCAGTAGGCTGCGCTCTTGATGGGCAGTAGTTGAGCATCTCAATAAAACAATCAAATGTAGGATGACACACACACACAATTTTTCTCCTCAATATGCTTTCCTAAATGGGGCGTATCTCTGGACGTGGTGCAGTGTTAGAAGGGATTAGGGACGAATCAGCCAGATACCTTTTTTGATGCGCTCAGATTTATTGGCTTTGGCAGACAGTCAGCGACTGTCAGTTTTGCACGAAACTGACAATGTCTTCATGAATTGTATGATAGATTGGGAATGACACTCATGAAGGGAAGTAAACAGTGAACTGCTCTGTTTCTTTGTTTAGCTTCCCTTTTTTGGTAACATTCTCACTTAAACCGCAAATCTTTTATTTGTTTCTTCAATGCTTATTTTTTTCTCGAGGTACTCGACAGGTAGTAGGAAGGAGCAGTACAAAAGTACATAAACATCGAAACAAATTAAATGGCAGCGATACTTCTGAGTCGTTGGCAAAGGCTGTGATAGCATTTACCTCCAAAATCCATCCTAATTGCCTAATTCGGAGGCACTTTCAATCACTAAAGTCAGCACATTTTCCTTTCACAATCGTGATCCCGTTTTAGCTGACAGAAGTGACTTCGAGGCAAACCCACACATGCACACACTTCTGTATTAAGTGACTGTTATCACAGAAAGCGGTTTACAGCCTTTATGCTAACTTCCTTGCTGAGTTTTTAGTGGATCTAATTGCTGCAGTGAGGCTAAAATTATTCTCATCACTAGCTCCGTGTGAAGCTTTTTTCAAAAAAAGTTTACCACATCCATTTCACTGTTTAATTTTTAAAGAAGACATCCACTTTGTTTAAAACAGTGACAAGGTGGTAATTTTTGTCACAGTTAAGTGAATTCAGCAGACCCCATCAGCAGCGTGACGCTCTACGTGATGAGGGTTGAATTTGATGTTGTGAGTGCATCAGTTTAAGCTGAAGGCCGATATTTTGCAAACGCTTTCAGGATGGCATGAACAATGAAAGAAGTAGCATAAAGTCTTGCAACTGCAAAAAAAATGACGCTAATAAGACGGAAGCAATTAGCCGCACTCTGGTGGTCTCAGTTCCTGGTTAGGTAATGAAGTTGAAAGAGATTTGAGCGCAATAAAACGATCAAACTAACTCACTGGATCATAGCCCTCCTTAATGTTGAAGGAGAGTTCATCGTGCAAGGCAGCTGAGAATTCCTTGGAGTAATTGGGATAGAGATCGAGGACGTTGAAAAGCGATGCATCGAGCAAAATGTACTGCAACTCGCAGTACGTGAGTGCTTTCACATCGAACGCCGAGAGGCCAATGAACGGTCGCTCGTCTATGTCCGTACCGAAACGGTCACATTTTCCTAAGGTCAAAATGAAGTTTTCAATTACAATCAGGAGTAAATGTGAAGTAAGCACAAGGCTTTAGAAGTAATCCTATTAAGCTGCTCCTCTATTAGGTGGAGATTTGAGGCAAACGGAACGGCTCGCCAACCACTATTCGGTTGCCAAGGCAATACAAAGCAACTGACAAAGTTCGCGTTATTTTTATAACCGAACTTAAGACAGGTCTACAAAAGTTCTTTAACCATTGTTGAATAAATGCAAAGGCTCAGCCGATTTCCTCTAAAAAAGTGGTCTAAATTTAGCCCTTGTCATTGTCCTCCCTGTCTCATTCGGTCTGTGCTTGACTGTCTAAGGTTAATAACGGCAAAAGTAATACTTATCACTTGACAACACATTGTATAGGCAAAGTTGGGAAGAGAAGGCCAACCAGAGTGCAGATCTTATCACAGATTTGACATTGACTTGCAAGAACGACGTTTTCCTTCCCTTGATTGACTAGCCATTGTTGTTTCTTAGAAAACAACTTTTTCCTCCACACGTACTGAGCGCCTATTAAGGACTGGGGAAAATCCAAGTCCAAACTTTTATTTTACCGTCAGTAGGTAAAATTTCCAGTATTCAATACCTTTATGGGTTCTATAACAAAAACCCATTTTTCCTCATAAACCTGTCGGCAAATAATCCAAAAGGTGGAAAATAAATGGAAAAGTATGACAGTTTAAAGGCCCCATTACCACTTATAAAGAAAACAAAACTCGTTTGGTGTTTAGCTTTTAAAACATTCCATCAACCATTCAAATTAGCTGTTCTGTCATCTGCTAGGTCATAAATCTCGACCCAATGTAGTGAATGAATGGTCTCTCTGACTGTGACCCATCAAACAGTGGACGAATTTTCCGTCACCAGAGGATGGACTTGTTCAAATCACCGTCACTAGCCCACTTTGTGCATTCTTCAGGTACAATTTTCAACGTTGCAACTTTGAAACCGAAGTAGGATTCGGCTTTCAACAAAGGCCAGTTCAAGTTCTTTCGTCGGATTCATTTAGCCGACATTTTATGAGAAGTTTAATCGCATAGAAATTTTGCACAATGAAGGGCCCTAAAAAGTTGTCATAATTCTCGACTTTACGACGGCTACATGTAAAAGGTTTCATGTGTGTCATAAACTCCTACAAGTTACAGCACATTCAATTGGCGATCGGAGCTGGAATTTGTCAGATTTTAGTCATTTAGTAAAGCCTCCTTTTTAGACTTGCAGTCAGATAGTGGTTCCAACTTTTTATCAACCTTAAAAATGTGCTCTTTCAGGTTATTATTTTCTCTTGTGGGCTCTACCACTTGGATTAATAGCTTTGCAAATGTTGTTTTATGGAGCTTGAACACTCCACCACGTGGCCCCGTAGGGAGGTGCGTAAGGGACACACACGTTTTTGTGATAAAACTCCACCTGTTGAAGCAATATAAACGGTGACGGAGGTGGACCACAAAGTCTGCCTTCCAAAAGTAGCATTCCCCTTCTACCACCAACACTGGCTCCCTTTCACTCCTTTACAAAGAATCTTTGTTTTGGAGTTCTCCGAAATTCCCCCGAGTGTTAAATCAGATTGGGGATGAGTCTGGTGAGCCTCATGATTAAGGCTACTTGCGTGAGTGTGACGAGAAGGTCTGGAAGCTCTTTGCGCCTTTCCTGAAAGTCCTTCACGTTTGAAAACTAGAAGTGTTGTACTGACGTAAATCTGCTGAACGACTTTGTGAAGGGCGGTGGAATTTGATACACATTGTATGTATTTTAGAATACAATATTTAGAGGTTAAAAAGAAGAAGAATGGAACAGGGTGCAATGCTGATACAATGAACTCGTCAAAAAGTACAGCGCTCTTAAAAAAGTAAAGCCCTCTTAAATTTCAAAAGTACGGCAATGTGAGGTGGAAGACTTATTGCATTATGTGATGCATTTTTGTTGTTAAGACAATTTGCAAACAACTTTTCTACACAATGACAGTCTATAAATGGACTGGAAGCACTTGACAAACGCATCAGAAGGCAGTGCAGTTTCGTTAAATTTACTCATCATAGCCTTGTGACAGATATTGGGAGGGATCACAACTGAAAGAGACTTGCTCCGATTCGTACACAGCAGTTGTTAAGAGCCTAGCAAGCAATAAAGGGAAGACTCGGTGGTACGATGAATGCAGTCTTCGTTCTTATTTTGCTCCAAGTACCTCAAACCTTCCAGCAGTTTTGCTAAGAAGTGGTAAAGTGGGCTTTAAGGTGCAGGTTTTGTCGTTTAGCTCTTGGCTTCAAGGAGGTGCCATTTCGTCTCTTGACTATTGTGCCTCTGGCGGTCTCTAACGCTTCCATGTCCCTCCACTCGGGTATTTTGTTCAAAGGCACTGTAAAAATTTGGTGGCTCGCTTTATCAAAAGCACTTTCAAAGAAGGGCGTTTCGGCAAGCAGGATGCTCAATACAGAGGAAAACAACTATGAGCTTGATAACCAACTGTAGATTAGAATGGAACGAACGAATAAGTGGTGGAGATGGGTCTACAAAAATATCCGTGCGGTGGAGATACTGTGAATCATCCTTTAATACCTTGCAGCTTAAACTCGGCGACATAATTTGTGCCGGCTTTTGGACCTCACAGGTGAATTACTAATGCCAATCAAGCAAATGTTATACCAACCTAAAAGCCAAATGTCCCTAATGAATAAAACAAACACCAATGCTGACTCATATAAAATGAGGCAAAAAATGCAGTAAGGGATGCTTTAAAAAACCTGCAACTTAATAATTGCATAACAACGTTTGTTTTACTGCATTCACGTAGGTCGGTATGACCTTGAATGAGAAAGCCTCTTCAGGGTATAACTTACCAAGTAATGCAACCACCGAGCCTTCTTCATCAAGAATCTCTAGAGAGCCACTGCAAACGAAGTAGAGGTTGCGAATGGCATCACCGCGATGCACTAAGTATTCGCCAGGTGTGGCAAAGCGTGTACCAATGAGTTGGGCGATGCTCTTCTGGCAGCCGATGCTAGCTGACTTGAAGATAGGCAGCGAAAGCATCTCTCTGTTTATATGCAATGCTATGTCTCCACGCATCTCCTCGGGAAAGGCCTGCATTATCTGTAAAATGCATCGCTATTTAGAACGAGGCTATAAAACGCTCTTTCGCCCCCTCCCACTGCCTCCCACCTCTTGGCCGTTAGACTGGGAAAATTTATGCTGTTCAAACGAAGTGCCACATAGAAGGGCACACAAACTAGGAAAAATTGAAGCACAAAGACCGATCAGAGGTGAATTTGGCCGCAAGCGCGAAGATGGCATGGTCATAAGGGAAACGCAGATAAGCTTGGCACTTTCGCCCCAACATCAACAACACGGGCAAACAGAGTTAATCAACAAAGTATGCAACAGTCTAGACAAAATATGAGTCGCTTATTGCATGATTAAATACAACATACTATTTTTGGCTCTTTTAGTAACTGCAATCACCATTACCGTGTTTAATGAATTTCAAAATAATCTAGCTGCTATAAGAGCATGTTTTTTAAGCACATCTTTGTGAAAATCTGGTCTGGTGTCCTCTTTTTGAAGGGCATGAGGAACGTCATGACATCAAGCAAGGAAAAGGTTTTTTAGCCTTCATAAAGGGTAAAAAAAAACTCCATCACCAAAGACTGCCACGAATCCTTCATCGAGGGCTTTGGGAGCAGTGTGTCCGAGTCGTTTGGAGTGATGCTTTGCATCCTGTCAACTACACTTCCTCTCCTTCTTTTGCAGTTTTTTTTAGGTTTGGTTACACTTTTTTTGAAGAAAAAACTTTGAGCAAAATTGTTGTAGTTTTTCCTTGTTAACCTCACTTGTGTATCAAGGGAGTTTCGGTTCTTGGATGTGCAATATGTAACTGTACAGGGACTTATGTTCAGTTATCTAACGATTCACAAAAATTATTTGCACATGCATTCCTGATGCAGCTAACGTACCGAGACTAACCAGCTTGCACTTCTACACACGTAATTACTCTCCACAACTTAAAGTGTGTCGATGTTCGCCTCCTTGATCCCTCAAGAAACCTGACAAAAAGTCCAAACTCAAAACATAATGAGTCGTTTGGATTTTACTTACTGTTTTGGTTGTTTATTTGCCAATTTCGAATCGGTTTTGCGCGCCTGAAAGTTGTGTCACCGCTCCTCATTATCCAGCCCCACTGTCAGTCAATCATGTGCATACTTGCTTAACTGTCTCCTTTCACCTTCCACCAGGTTTCAGGGCGATCGGTAGGCAATGACAAGGGACAATTTTCAATTAAAAACGAGCACTGCCATAATTTACTTTCCTGTATACTAAAAATTAGCCTGACGGAACGCGAGCATGCGATGTGGATGGGAAGTACTCGTGAAAAGGACCACATAAATACTCGGACTCGTGTTCTGTAGAAATGTTACTATCAAATGAGGCAAAGTACTAAACTGCCCTCGTTATTTGCATGAAGGTGTCAAATAGCTGAACATGTGATGCCTCCTTCTTCTTTCTCAGAACTGATGCAAAAACGGTGATATGGGGAAAAGGGTGCAAGGACTAAGCCTCACATATTTATTTTAACCTCCTTCCTGTATTATACAGCACTGCTCTTATTCCAGTGTTTCGGAGATCAGTTGGCGGATTCCACTTCCAACAAGTCAAAACTCCGCATCCAACGGTGTTGTCAGAGGTGATCAGGAACGTTAAGATCAGCGTCTTTTAGCAGCGAGATAATTTGATGATTGAAGCAAAGGATTTGTAAGCGTTATTTTTACCGCGCCAAGCACATTAAAATGGGCTGAGGCGAGGAGCTAGGCAGTGCTTTATGTGTCGTTAGCATTCGTCAAGATCCATGACTGTCAGACCAAGGAGTTGCACCTCGTTTCCCCTAAAAGCTTCTCAGAGCAATGCCAACAGTTGTTAGAAAATGCACATTTTAGCCTCACTATTCATTTTTTTTTTGCATTAGAATCTTCCTTTTTTCAACATTTACCAGAGATGTAATTAAAAGTTACAAAAATGCAAACAATTTGTAATTGAGTTTTCGCAGTACACTGAAACCTGTTGCTTCACCTGATAGTGTCCTTCTTCTGTCGAATGGTAAACCATGTTGGAAACCATTCCAAACGTTACGGCTCTAAGGGAGGCATAAATTCGGGTGCAGCTATCAACCACCAATTTGATGACTTTTTAAGCTTACGATCGGTGCTTTTATTCTATTCCGTCCCAGAGAGAGCGCCTTAACATTCATGGCCTTAACTCTGAACCTAAAAAAACTTATGCCTTAAAACAGTAACTGCAAGTTCTTAAATTAGCGCCTTTTTGTTCGGTTTCATAGGTAGAGACTTCCTTTTATCCTTATCAGTCGTCTAAAGCAGAATGCATGAGAGCGTCTGTTGCCAAATGTCATGGCTGCAGCCACCTCTGCGGGCGCTATCAACAAGCAAAATAGTGGCAATTAAGTTCGTTTAATGCGTAGAAAATCACATCAACTCCTCGCTATTGCACCTGAATGCAGGTGGTGGTGAAAAACAAGGCGCCTTTAAACAAAAAAACACCTTCTGATGGCAAGATCTATCTAAATTTCATAAAATGCACCATATGAGAAATTCACCCTCCATTTGCCATTGCTTTGTGCTGATGCGTCTTTTTTCTCACCCCCCAAATAAGGTGACGAGGATGGAAATGCTTACAGTTTGCTTGTCGATTCCTCGGTTGATGGACCACATGGCTTGATAGAATTCCAACATTCGCTGTCGAAGTTGCTTTGGCAGATGATGCGCCCTGGTGAAGTCTTTCAGGTCCTGGTTCTTTGTCTGGTAGGCCGATCGTCGTGTGTACATTCGCTGGATGATTGTTGTCACGTTCCCAAACACCGCTGCGTGCATGAGAGCTAAAATTTCAACATTCAACTTCCAAATTCCTTTAACAAAGTACCATTGAGATAAAAAATGTTGACCTAATTTAAAAGCAATTTGCTAAGGCGCCTTCTGTACAGATATACTCGGCGCCGAGATGAAAATTCTCCACATTGTTTAAACCCGCCGAGTGCTGATTCAGTAAGCCTTTGACAAAGTTTACTCACATAAGTCAGAACGCTCAACCAATTTCTCAGTTGCTGGATTTGTTAACAAATAAATGCAAGCACCTCATCGGGAGGTTTAGTTGAGTTGAAGAAATGTATCAACGTGAGCAACCACTTCATCCATTATTGCATGTTAATATTAAATTCTACTTTGAAACGTTTTTTTTTTCACACTGTCAAACCATCGGATAGTCATGAGTTCCTCCTCATGCCAGCAATGCCGTCGACAAAGTAGCATTAAATGCTTACGCTCATCCAACCCAAGTTGAAATGTAACGTTATGGACCATTTGAAACAGTGCATATAGGGAGCATAATAACTCTCCTCCTTTTTAATCCCCCATGATGAGGAAATTCCTGATTACTTTTGTGCTTCTTGCCTTAGTGGAGATGTAGGTTCACCAAAGAAAAAGGTCCATCCAAGGGTAGCCGATCAAACAGTAGAACAGTTCCATGGGTATGGACGTAGCATACGGAAGTCTAAGGGTTAAAATTGGCATCTAACGTCCCAAGACTGCAAAAGCAAAGCATATGTAGCTCCTTACTGCTGAGAACCTGACGAGAAATTAAACATCATTTCTACACGTTGTAGTTGAAGAAAAGTATTTATGAAGGGAGGGCATTATCCAAAAAAGCAACTAGTTGTCCTCAACCATGCACCCTACAAATGCAATGGAAGAGTGGATAGAGCTGCGATAGCGATTATCACCCAAACAACAGTCTCTCAAACTTCAGGTATATGAATGCTATTGACTGAGGGGATATTCGTCGCTATGATCATTTAGATGAAGAATTATTATGGCTAGAGAACATGACGCAGTAGGTCATGCCTTTCACTAAGGTTGTGCAGCGAGCGAGCAAGCTCTGACAGTACAAACTGAATCACTATTTGAAGCATGATAAATAGATTTACACCAGGAATTGCATTGAAGACGTTTGATGTTGTGTATGGAGCAGAGACCTACCGCCCACCAGCATTGAGACAATGGAGAAGATCTTTTCATTGCTCGTATTGGGTGAGACGTTGCCAAAGCCGACGGAGGTTAGACTGCTCATCGTGAAGTAGAGACTGGAGATGTAGATGCTGCTTCGACTTGGCCCACCCGACATGTTTGCCCCGTAGTAAGCGTCTGTTCGCTCTGACAGCTCAAATAACCAGCCTAAAATGTGGAAGTAAGAAGTGTTAAGGCACTAAAGGTTAAATCAAAGTTGCTTCTCTTTGGACCAAAAGTATTTGAATTCTGGGAAGTGGCGATAAAATTACTTATTGAGATATCAAAAATTAGAAACAGGAAACAGATCTGAGGACTAAAACTTCGATTTCAGCTGTAATTGCTTTGTCTCATCCTGCTAAGCACCGTTCCACTTAGACGCTTTCGCGATGTAGGCGATGGGCTTTCTCCAGGATTGTACATGTAAGCGTAACTAGACTTCGCATCAGTCTCAGTAGTGGCTGTGATTTAACGGCCGCTGGAGAGGTCCTGGAATATGCTGTAGATTTTGCTAAAAGCATGTTGCTAAAGCCTCGTGTTCTTGATCTCTTCCCGCCCATTATCTGCGTCACTCTCAAAGGAGGAGGCTAAACAATGTGATAGAAACGGGTATTGGTTAGTCACTGCACTTCGTCCGTCAAGAAGGACGCAGTCGGATGGTAAAACTACGCATTTTTCAGAAAATTTTAAAAGAACTTTGGAAAATTAACTCATATAACATTTATTAGCGCATTCCGTGGATCTCCAATTAGCCTCAGCCATAATCTGTCCGCTGGGAATATGTTTCTGGGTGGTCGTGTGTTCGACCTAAAGATGAATGTAACCAGCGCGAATGAACGGAGTCGAACAAATTTACTGACGCATCATGCGAAATTGGAAAGTTGGAATAGGATGTGACTGAAAGAAAAACCTGTCCATAACCCTCCTTCTGCATGGGTGGTGGGAAATTTTTCCTTTTCACCCCTGTCGGTGTCCATTTTAATACTGACTAACGGCAACATCGTGCGTGAGGTCTTTGAATCTTGAAGCTATGTTGGAGATGAATTTTTTTATCTAAAACATTATAATTTAACAAAATCTTTGAAAACGAACATCAAATGCACTTAAAGTCTTGTAATTTTTCGAAATATTTTTTTAAGGAAAAGTTGGCTAAGATTAGTTAATCGGGAAGGTTTAACAAGCGACGGTGGCCGAGCTCATCAATCAGTTGAGCAAAGTGGCAGGTAAGATCTTTCTCTAGGTTTTCCTTCACCTGAACTGAAAAGATTACATTGATTTGAAACGGTGAACATAGACAGACAAGAACTCACACAAAAATGTTTTGTAATTGATAAAAAACTTATTAAATTAAAAAGTATCGGTCCTCTGGGAATGCCAATTAGTGACTTCTTCAATTTCTTCGTAAATTTGAAGATTGAGTTATTCGATAAACTATATCCTCCTCCTCCTCCTCCTCCTTCTCCTCCTACATTTTCTCATATTAGTCGTGTCATGCAAATTTTAAAAATAAATTAGATTACTCAAACATCTTTGCCTGATATTAATCCACAAATGCCATTAAACCTCCTTCATTCGAAGGAAAAGCTCGTTAACACCACTAAAAGAGGAAGCTTTGCCTCAGGAGCAGTTTGTAAACAAGGTAGTGCTGACCACGTTTCTTCCTCCCTATTTCGTATGACGGTATCTGATGCTGACGTCAAGAAGGGAAAATTGTCACCACTTGGCGACATGCCATGGGGGGAATGGGGCAGAGAAAACGGAGCCTAAAGCGGCAATTTCCCCACATCCAAACCAATTTGCCAATCTTCTCATTTCCATTCCTATGGCACCTATCTCAAACT